AGGCAGCTAGATTTTGGGTTAGAAATTACCTCCATGATAAGTAAAATTTAGATTTATGCTTAAAATGGACATTATCAATGAATATTTTAGGTCAGTTTTGAGGGTAACAATTCATGTGATAAATTAGAGAATATTAATGCAAAAAATATATGCATGAATGTACTAATGATTCACATATAATATATATAGCTATAATCTACAAAGGAAAATATTATTTTTAAGAATTTTGTGTTTCCAAAGCTCTTTTCTGGCTAACCTTCACCAGGAATGCTCAAACCAAAACATCTGAAAGCCAGAGATGTAAAAATACATGTATGTAAAAACATTAACAGCTTTATTACCAAAAGGGACCTAAAGAGAATAGCCAAGTTCTTTTAAAGTCAAATTTGCCTAAGGGAGTTGGAACCTTAGTTTCTAAATCTATGAATGAGTACTTTTAGAAATGTATGTTCTAAATCATGTCAGTTCTGACACACTGATATAAACTGTTATTAACCTCATCACAAAGCTAATTACCAGCCTACATGTATAATCAATAAAAAAGAGAAATAAAACTGAGTTACATATTAGCACATCTTTACATAGAAAATTCTCAAACTGAGTGTGACTTTAATGAATTAATGAGACAATTATTCAACATAATTAACAAATGGATTGGTGTCAGCTAGCTAGTGGGGATCCAGTTGGCTGTATAAAGAGAGATAACTCCAATTTGATCATTATGACTATAATACATTTTTGTACATTCACTAATAGTACAGATCTATTATACATGAGAGAAACAAAATATATAATTATTAAACTCTTAAAAGAGGGACGAAAGATACCAGAGGGACAGTCAAACTCATTGATCGAAAACAAACTGACAACGCCATGGCCAAAAATAAAAAGACAAACAGACAAATAATAGTACAGATGACACAACATAGAAAACTAAAGACTAAGCAACACGAACCCCACCAAAAACTGGGGGTGCTCCGGAAGAGTAAGCAGATCCTGCTCCACATGTGGCACCCGTTGTGTTGCTTATGTTATTACAAATCCGGTAAATAGTCTTATTCGGTAGGTCACATTCGTGAAAAGGGAAGGGTATTGTAGTTACGACATAAGGAACATATCCGATATCATCTGTGAAACGGTTATTCCATAACAGTCAACCAACTCGTGATGGCGTCCGTAAAATTTACGCATTTAAATTACAGAACTATGTAAATATAGCATAATATTATATGTAGAACAAGAGGCTGTAAAAATGACAGCATACCAGGTTTTTATTACATTTAAAGCAATGAAGGGCCATAACTGCTGAAGAGTGAAAACAGTCAATATCACACTTGACCAATTTTGTCATCAGTAACAAATAACATATTTAAATCGAAAAGCATTGGTTCAATATTAATGCAAAGTTCTTAACTTATTGCACAAAAACGACTGAGAAGACCATTTAAAATACATCGGGAGCATTACTCCTGAACAGTGAAAACAAAAATGGTCAATATTGGTCTTGAGATCAATTTGGTCAACAGTAACAAACTATTAGAATTTGAAAATAATATGTAGAATGGTTAAAGAAAGGAAATAAAGTGCCATTTTTCATTCAATAAAGGACCATTGCTCCTGAACAGCTAAAAATCATCAATATTGAACAACATAAGTTGAAAAGCATTAGCTGAAAAAGTCTAAGTTATTGCACAGAAACCACAATATGTGATATTTTCCAATCAATCATGGACAATAACAGCAAAAGTTAAACCTTATTAGACCATATGTCATAAAAGTAAATACACAATAAAAAAAAAATTGGACAGTGCAGCTACAAATGTACCAACTACTTCTTTGAACAAGGAAATAAAAAAACAGCACATAATTTAGAAAAGCTGGATAAAAATGTGAAACCTTCAACAAGAAGCTAGCCAAAGCAGTTACAGCTGTTGGTTGAATACTGCTGCACAAGAAAATGAAAAAATTGAGAAACAACATACCAATTATTTTCATGAGGTCTCATTATAAAACTGAATTGAAATTGGCAGTATTTTTGACAGGCCAGTATGTATTTAAAATCGTCAGACCATCAGAAGAAAGAAACATTTATTCAGATTTAGTGAATCTACATGTACATGTATCACATCTAAAAAAACTTTTCATTTGACTTTTTAACACTAAATTTAAACTTGATAAGGGTATCTGAAATTATCTTTACCCTATTTCAAAAATTATAAAATGTTTCTTGATACAATGAATATACTATTCTTATTATAAAACTTATTGAATCAATGGGTAATGCATGTAGACTGTAGCAAATCTTTCAATGCAAGTTGGCAAATGTGAGCTATCCTTTTCCATGTTTTCGGTTTTCTTTTATTTTTCTAGTATTTTTCATAAAACTTTGTGTTACAAAGGTTGAAAAAGTAAGTAATTAATAAACTATGTATATATATTGAAAAAGTAAGTAATTAACATAGTATATATATATATATACTATATTATTACTTACTTTTTCAACCTTTGTTACACAATGTTTTATGAAAAATACTAGAAATATATTATATATACCGTTTCGATTCCTAACATCACTGAAGAGACATTAATTGTCGAAATCCGGATATGGTGTACAAATTTATGCACCTCATGTTTGCGGTATACCATCTTTTCCGCAAGTTTATTGTTTTCTGTTTGGTATTAAATTAATAATTAAGATCCATTTTTTACATCTGGTAATACGTTTATTTGGCAATCGTCAATGCCAGCCAGCAGGGTTTAAGAACATCAGTTGTTCGACCTGTTAGTCAAATGCGTTTTTGTTAAAATATACTTTTTCACTTTTTTGGTCTTTTGGAAAATGTTGTTTGTGCTGTATTTAGACCCCTCTACCAAGAAATTTGTTTTGCATGCACACGTATAAAAATTGCGTTTTTTTTTATCCAACACAATCATAGGTTTGAACGTTGTTTTCAATTTAGACTTGTTTATATATATATATATATTAAAGTACTTACTTTTCAACCTTTGTTACACAATGTTTTATGAAAAATACTAGAAAAACTGATTCTTATTATTACAAAAACTACTGAAAATACTTCAGACACATGGCTTACTTGACTGCATCATTGTTACTGTACATGAAGCTATCCAGAAATAATCATATTTATGGAACTGTAAAAAAATGGTATCAGGTCGTTCCGTCCCCAGACAAAGTCGATCTGGCCACTTAATAAAATGATGAATAATTACTATAAAAGTCAAGAGAGTTTTCTGAAGTACTGTAAATTCAGAAATTACTGCATGGTTTTTATTATTGCGAATAATGTGACTGGTAGGTATTGCAATAATAAGAACTCACATTCTGATATCTGATACATATATGTGTATGCAGATTTTCTTCAAAATAACAATAATTAATCTCACATTCTTGTTTATTCTTCAATATTAAATCCCAATAATAAATGCACGTAATAATTTCTGATTTTACAGTATTTTAATCAGGGCAAGAGGCAATTTGCACATGAACAAGTTATTAAAATTTCGCTGTTCAGAGGAATTCTTATTAACAAGGAAACAATATTGATGATCAATGACAACTTTAAATTATTCTGGAAGGGATTCATTAAAAAATATATCTCAATTTGAGTAGTTTTTATAACTTTAAAAAAAGGTTTGTTTGGGGATCAGCTTGTGTGTATTAACCAATTGTTATTACACCAGTTGAAAAGATCATTAAGATTAAAGTCATATAAAAAATTGCTAATTGATGTTGACTAATTATAGCATTTACTTCTGTAATATATGTTTGTATTATAACTATGCATTTCAAATATTCTTTTTTTATAAATTCTAATAAAATCATAATCAGCTTGAATGCTATGTACTGCATCATCATCTCTACTCAGTAAAGGTGATAAGATGATTTAATACACCTTATCGCTATTTGTCCGCCATTACTGGACATCACACAGGTTCCCGTAAAATTTTGACGTCATAATACAAGATATCTGAAGCCACAATGGAAAAGTGATTGTTGTATGACGTCAATAGTTCAAGCGGGACGGATTCTCGGGTCAGCCGGATATAGCGATAAGGTGTATATAAATATTTTACTTTAAAAAATTATATATTAAATATGAATATTAAAAACAATAGTTGGATCTTTTTTTTTTTCAAATTGGGGCCGGATCAAATCTAAATGTCAAGCCGAAACGACTAGGGTCAGAATAGGCCACTTCACGGTTAGTTCGGCCATATTGAATAGGGGGCATATTTTTTTGAAAGAGGTGGAAATAGTATGATAGTACGGGAAGTCCTATGCATGTTTCCAAGCAACTGCTCTGTTTTAAAGATGTTTTCCAGTTTTTTTCATACTATTTTTACCTCCATTATTAAAATCTGCCCCCTATCCAGTATGGCCGTACTAACCGTGAAGGGGCCTTATACTTTTGAGGGATCGCCTTGGGCCAAATCGAAAATTGATTGCGAGAGGAGGTGGGCAGCTAACATTTGTTTGTGATAAGAGTCTCAGGTCAAAAAGCATGTAGGCACTTGTATCTGTTTAGAAAATATCAATATACTTTAACAAAGGTATTTTTTAAACAGGAACAAGCATAATTTTTGACAAGTGCTCGAGTCAAATAGAAATATATTACGGTGTTTTGAGTTTTTGTTCTTAATCTAATTAATGACAACTATGTGGGTCAAATTAACAACTATTTTAGTAAACTTACTCTTGTTGAAATCATTTAAAATAAACGATTGTGTGTTTAAATGTCATAAAATCTAGAAAACATCGTCAAAATCCCGGTTCATTACCGAGTCATAGTTACCATGAGCAACAATATCCGGTTCCGTTTTAATAAAAATATCCTTTGAAATACAAAGAAATTATCTACCACAACAAATAGTATTTTATACTTGATATTTGAAAGTAACATCAGAAAAATATAAAAATTTATTTATTTACACATTTATATGTTATCCATACGTACGAGATTATAAATGAATGACGTCATATCCTGCAGCTTTGATAAAGCTGGGGATCATTTCAACAGTTTTAAATGTAAGTTTCGATCAAAATACAGGGAGAATGTCCACTTGAAAAACACTAACTATAACAATAGAAAATTCCCAAACTGAAAAGGAATTATATGGCACATTGCATACATGTGTGTGCCATTGTCGCATATCTTCTTTGTAAAATTATACTTGATAAGGAAATAAATAAAAATAACGAGCTGAAAGGAAGATAACAAGAAAATGACAAAATATGCAAATTACATAATTATGCTAAAATTAGATTGAAGATGATTCTACTTCCTGTTAGATTGCCAAGATTTACAATAGAGGCAGGTGTTACCTGATCTCAGACCCTGAAGGTTATTGTTGGTGTGTTATTTATCTGCATTATTTTATACTGAGCTAATTTTTAAAAGACCTTATAGCTATTTGGGGATCTGCACCACTTGACCCCAGAATTTGCAACACTTGAACTATTGCCAGTATTGACCTCATAGAACTATCTCTTTTCCTTTGTGGTGTCAGACATTTTCTCTTGTGATGTCAAAATTTTACAGAAATTTTGTGATGTCCAGTAATGGTGGACAAATAGCGATAAGGTGTATATAAGTCCAATTGTCCAGTGAACCAAAATGATCCCATATCTTGCAGCCAAAATCAAATGAAAACATGTGTAAATATTGTTTTTCTTTTGACTTCATGTACATGATGTATCTTAAATTTTATTGAACCTATTGGAATATTGAAAACAGTAATGTGTTCTTGTAAAATTCATGATTTCTTATGTGAAACTGAGACTACTATAACACAGAGATTGGTCACTTCCCGTACTGACCAGTCAAATAGTAATTAATTGTAAGTCTTCGATCACGTGACTCGGCACGTGACTCGCAATGATTGACAAGAAGGATTCGACCGCCATTTTTGACAGCGAAAGAGAAAATAATAATTAACAAATGTGGATTTCTAAAGAGTGTTATGTTCCGGTAAGTGTGAATATAAGATTTGACATGTTCATAAATGTTGGTTTATAAGCACTTTAAATAAAATAAGTGCAGTTATAGACTTGAATTTACCGACCAAACCGGAAAGTAACCTCGAGTTATTACCAGTCCGTGGGACAGGGTCAATGAGCAACTCACCCATAACTTACATTCAGATGAACAATCTGTTTTCCGGATAATGTATGTGCAAGCCTTAGTAATTAACCGATGTAATGATGTAAAATTTGTAATTATATGAAATTCCAATTTTTCTGTATCAGTAAGTTCCCGCTGCAGAACTGAGAAACACACGAGACAAGTTGCACACACACAACATGAGGTCTGATAGGTGAATTTGTATTGTTAGTGAAAGAAATTTAGATTTATATTTGGTTCCCTTGATAATATATATGCAGTCTATACATGCTAGTATAATAATATTATGCAATGAAAATGTGTCACCATGTGAAATACCAGTACATCATGAGTTCCTAAATAGACGTATTTTTTTTAAATAATTGACCCAAACATGATGTAAAAAGTACATGCACCTTTGGTCTGCATCCTTTATCAGTTTAACTATTTTGATCCATATTGACATGATTGGTCAATTACTGCTGAGTCTCAAGTCTCAGATTACTGTCTTAAAAATTAACGAATTGCCTATGCTATAAACTTGACAAACATTATTTCTTTTTATTTATAATATATTCTTTATTGTAGGAATACCCCCAGAAAGATATCACGCATTAGAAGAAGGGAGAAGTACTACAGGAGAAAATGACTTTTTTCAGTATTTTTTTTAATTTCATTGAATTTGTCATGCTTGTCTTACATGGAGAAATAAATATTTAAGTCTTTGAATATACATTTTTATTATTATATACATTAAAACTAAGACAGGAATGCAGAAATTCACTACATTGTGTAACACGCTCAGTTTGGATAACAGTTCAATGAAAGAAAAAAAACAAGTAACCACACATCTTTATATATTAAAGGAATAGCCACTTGAAGCAAACTTTAAGGAGATTTTTATATATTTTTGCTAATGATCATCAGACAACTCCTTTAGTCCAAATGAAGTTCAATGAAGTGGATGTAAGTTATTGGAATGCACCGTAATTACCTTCAACAATGAGAAAACCTATAACGTGCAGTCAGCTTCAAAAGTCCCCGACATGGAAAATATATAACAATTCACTAGAGAAAACGAAGTGTCTACAATAACAAAGCAATTTACGAAAATTCAAATATGACGGACATGTACCAACAGCAACCACTGAATTACAGGCTCCTGACTTGAGACGGGCACATAAAGAATGACAATGTTAAATTTTTTAGGCGCTCATCACCATCACTAGCATGGGACTTTGGTGTAACGACATAACATAAAAACAAACTTTAAACACAATTTGAAAATAGTTCATTTCGGTTTAATCAGGCTGACTGTACATGAAATATTTGCCACTGACAAGCAGTTGTGAATCGAAGTTGAATTTACAGAAAGGTGATATCAATATATGCTATCATATTTAACATTCTTGTTTAGATCTGACATTGCTACTTATTTATACATTCTGCATTATTTTTGGCTTCTCAGAATTTTCACATGGTAAACTGTCAGCAGTTACCCAACAAAAAAATGTTATAGGAAACCTTTTTACAAAGCATCATGCAGACAACAATTAACATGGTATGTCACCAAACATTGAACAAGCACATTTATATTTGCTGTGGCTAAAAAAACTAAAGCAAATCACAACTCTTTTCATCTGAGTTGCTCAATTATTAGGGTTACAAAAAGCATAGCGATATAACTAAAACATACGACACTTTAACAATAGACAATATTCAAATTTTCAAAAACTTTACGGCTCTGTATTGAAGCACAAAATTTCTTGTCTGGGATTTTGAAAGAGGGCACATATTTCTGGTGTTGAAAAAATGTCATCGTAAATTACCCTAATGTGGTTCTATTTATGTTAACATAGAGATAATTTGATTATTCAGTCACATAATTTTGAAGCTTCTTCGTTCTGGTTTACATGTTCTTGCGGTTGATGCTTCTTTTGGAGTTTTTGTAGTTTTTGCAGTCTTTGCAGCAGGGACGTATAGTCATCCTCAGATTCAAAATCTGATGCAGTATATTCACCACGTAAAAGATCAAGATTGAGATCACTATCATCCCAAGATAAAAAATCAATGTTACTGGACATTGTGAATTGAAAAATGAAAATGCCAGCGATATTTTGGGAACATATATATAATTTGTAGGGCTTATGTTTGCTTTATGTATCCATTGCAGTTATAACCTCTTTGCTGATCTGTTACGTAAGGAAATTACTCATTTACCTTTAATGAAATTTTTTCTCTCTTCTGTGATCGCCGCTTATTACATTGTTTGCAAAAACTTGACCTAATTATCAGAAATCATTAACATTTTAAAAAAAGTGGGTGGGGGTTGAAACTTGTTTGAAAAAAAAAATTTACGTTGGATAATTTGAATGAGGGTCTGGATGGGGGTTCTTTATTTCCTATAATTTCTATGCCATTTTTCTCTATTCTTTAAATCTTAATAACTTATTATTTTCTCTTCTCTATTCTTTATTTGTCAGTCCATTTTTCTCCATTCTATACCTTTTTTGCCCCTATTTCTCCATTCTATAAAACCCCATCCACACCCTCCTGAATCCTACCACAAGTGCACCGACGATATTTGACAAGGTTTACTACAATAAACATGTATATTGGGCACTCAGCAGTGAAATACCTTACAAGTATAGAATAAAAGTTTACTGCAATAAACGGAGCCTCGTGTACCTTGGGCACCCAGCTGTGAAACAAAATTCATCTCCCATGCTTTTGAGACTACCTGTCTTTACAGGTAAAATATTTGTATATTAGATACAATTAACGGATGTGTAGCAAAACAATGTAACTGTAAGATTGATAAGATTAATCACATTCACATTTTCAAGAGTGGCCGCATAATAACAAACTATTAACAAATTATTAATGATTAAAAACAAAAATTTAAATATGAATAGAGATAACTGCATTTGAAAGATAAAAACTATATTCTTTTTTTTTTTTGATTAATTCAATTTTGTTTTTAAATTATTTTTAAAAGAAAAATAATAATATCCGATACTGTTATAGTATTCTCAGTGATAGGTGATATATGTCGTCTGCTACGGTCGAATACGAAACTACGTTAAAATAACGTAGCTAACTACCGGAGACTCAGATAATCCGATAAATCTATAGTGACCAATCTCTGTGTTATAGTAGTCTCAGTGTGAAAACATTACCCCTTTGTGTATTCATTTCTACTGGTATGACTGGTAACAGAGTGTAAATATACAATGATATAAGAACAAGTGATTGGAAAAACATTTTTTTTTTCTGGATTTTACCGATATAAATTTCCAACAGAAGTTTTTCGTCAGACTGATGAATTTTCCAAGATTGACAAAAAAAAAAGAAAGGGTTGATTGACACTAGCAAGAATTACTTGACTTTTATCACCATGTTGGAGGGCAAAGTCTGCAAATTCCTTTATAAATCAGCCAAATTCAACTTGTTACACTGACCACTAGATGTTAGAAGAGAGGTTTTTGTGAACAATTTTTATTTCTTTTAGCCTTATGAAAATAAGGAGATGTGGTATGATTACCAATGAGACAATTATCCACCCAAGTTCAAATGAAGTGGATGTAAGCAATTATAGGCAACCATACAGCCCTCAACAATGAGGAGGAATCTTTTATCAGACTTGTGTGTATTGCATGTTTCAATTTGGTTAGTTAAATGAGGAAATCCACCGTTCATCCCTCCATTATGAAAGCCAAGGGAAAACCTACATGTACATGTATAAACAAGAATTGACCATGTCAACAGTAAATGTAGTAAAATACTGGTTGATTGAAATTTTGAGTGGACATTACTATAAAAATCGCTTCCTATCTGGTCCATATTAGTCATTTTAAATGATCTCTTTTTTTAATATCATTTCCTTTGAGGTAGTTTTGTGATAAAATTGAGAATGGAAATGGGGAATGTGTCAAAGAGATAACAACCCGACCATAGAGCAGACTTCTGGCTTATTTGTTTTGAGTTGCTTTTTCATGTGAAAATTGAATTTGCTTTTGTGCTCATTTGTATCCTGCATTTTGTTTAGTAAACATATCATTTTTCATTCTGTCTTGGGCAGTTATTTAATTTTAGTTCTTAACAGGCCAGATTATTTTAAGTAGACCACCCCCATCCCCCACCCTAACCCACTAGACCTGTCAACTATCCCAATTTATGGGGGATATCCTACATGATAGGTGTGAAATTCTTTATTATATAAAACTGAACACCTCAAAACAGGCATTCAAATGAGTAGGAGGGGTATTTAAGCACATATACTATGTACATACTCATTCAAACAATATAGTAGAAGATTAAAAACAGTTATGACAATATAACAAGAGCATTTGTCCTCTTGCGCTTAAAATCCCCCATGGAGATTATGAAAAGTTGGCAGGTATATGACCCATCCCACTGAATATCAAATGATTGAATCCTTAAAAAAAAGAAGAAAAGAACAGCTTTTCAATGTCACCTGCCAATGCACATATTTTTTTAAATTTCCAAAGGCAATAACGCCAAAAAATGTAGTCGGGAATTCCCTTCCTACATACATGACATATGTATACACATTTCCATATTTCTATTAATTTATATATACATGTATGGAGCATAACTCCTTTAAAAACAATTGATTGGCACTGATTATTGAATTTTCCAAGACCAAATTAAAATTAACCTTTGTTACACATGTATGGTATAAATACATTTTATAGAAATGTAGACTTGAGAATTCTAAACAATGCAATACTCCATAGATATTCATTTCTAAGGGACATAACTCATCACACTCATGTAAAAAAAATAATTCAGTGCTGATTACAGGAGTCTTGGGACTTTTGCTTTTTTTTTAGTATTGTACCACAATGATACATTGTGAACGCAAATCTTCTGAGGCTGTTGGACAGAAAGCTATCATACTTCAAAAAATGTACTTTGCAGAATTGTTTGGCTTTGCCATGTAGCGTTGATCATATTATACCATCATTTAAATTTGATCACTATACCTGTAGCTAGTACTACATGTATTACAGGAGTAATTGGACTTTTGACTTTTTTTCTTACTTTTGTACCACAATTGATACTTTGTGAATGCAACTCCTATGACACCATTTGACAGAAAGCTCTCTCACTTGTTTGGTGAATGCAACTCCTATGACACCATTTGACAGAAAGCTCTCTCACTTGTTTGGTGAATGCAACTCCTATGACATCATTTGACAGTTTGGTTTATTTGCCTTCATGGGTTGTTGATCATATACTGTTATTTTGATTTGACTATTTTTATGGAAGTAATGACACATTCTGACACACAATTTAATTCCTCATTTACATGTATACAGTGGTGAGGGACATTTTTCTTTGATGAAACAATCTTGTTTTCATTACAGCTTGAAGCTCAGCCTCACATGTACACAATCCAGAGAAATCTGCACGCAAACTCTGATATACATGTACATGAAGTTACATATGCATGTGATGTACATGTGACAAGTGGCTAACATTGGAATTATTGTCGGAGTCAGGCCTGTGTTCAAAAGTTTATGAACATGATGAACAATGAATTGAAATAATTGGTTATCATGGCTATGTGAACTATCTTTAAACTCCAGATTCAAACCTCCTTAGATACATGTACATCATGTATATATGAACATCATGCTCATCATTGCAGATAATAGTTTTGCATCAGGCTTTTGGGAATATTCACATAACAAAAGTGTACATATTTATTACAATGCATATGCTAAAATAATTATTCTTTTGTGACATACACATGTACAAAATGTACATTGCATATTAAAATTAAATACCTTTTTTATACTTGATAGGTGATACCCTAACAGTTCTCTTGTTATCCAAGATGTCGTTCAGCACCTCTAACCAGTCCCTTAGCCAGCAGGTTTATACCAGTTCTGGGATGAATGCTTCAGTAATGACGACTCAACAGCACATCAGTTTTATTCCTGTACCACTGACACACAGTGTGGAAGTTATTCCACCAAGTGGATTTCCTCCTAGTTCAACAAGCTTTAATCTTTCTAGTAACAGTCCCACTAGTGCCAACCAGGAACGACCAAAACCACAGATAATGATACTTGAAAAATTAAAGCAATTAAGAGACGTAGGAAGATATTGTGATTTGTTTATTGATGTTAAAGGCATGCGGTTTATTGCTCACAAGTCATTGGTTGCTGCTTGGAGTCCATATTTTGATGAAGCTTTGACTAGTACAGACTACGTTGAAAAAGACTTGCTGATTGTTCACTATGATAGCTATGAAGTATTTGCTGATTTTTTAGAATTTTTGTACACAGGTACAATTGCTCCAAGAGAAACAAATTTTCTACAGCTGTTACATTTGGCTGTTAGCTTCAAAATTGACTTACTGAAAAGTTATTGCGAAGAATTCTTACGATGCAACTTACATCTGGGGAACTTTGTCAGTACCTACTTCTTGTCGAGGAAATACAGTTTAGATGAACTGGAAGAATTTCTAGTTGGATTTTTACAATCAAATTTATCAGATGCAGTAAAGCAGAGTGAATTCTTACAAATGAAAGCTGGAAAAATTCATGCTTTACTATCCAAAGGATGCATGTTAAAATTAAAACCAGAAATGAAACTATTTTTGGTGATAAGTTGGGTAGGTTTTGAAGTTCAACCAAGAGAAAAGTTCCTGGTATTATTATTAAAACACATTGATTGGTCATCAGTTGCATCAGACTTTTTACTAGAGATCAGTCGTACTGAAAATTTCTTCACAACTCATGAATCAAGCTTATACCTTCTGTTACAGACATTATTCAGTTCTGGGATTTCTTTGGGGCCGTATACTGAAACTTTCTCATCATTGAGACACACCTATTCTCATTTGCTTACTGAAGTGGTCACCTCAGGATTGATATTACCAGAGGTTGATGATTTTATAGCAGTTACTGCAGTTGGTACAACAACAAGACATATAAAGCTTAATACAGGGACAAACACAGACAACATGCCTTACATGTTCATACAATCTCATACAGCAAAGCCTATTAGTGAATCAGATAATAGCTTTCAACCAGGAGAGAATGAAGAAAATTACAATGAATCAGCAACCAATGAAAATGAAGTAACTGGTTCCCAGTCAGGGGAACCTGTTGAACTAGAAGCAAGTAGCAAGATAGTGACACCAGGGACTGAGAAAACTCCAAACAAAAGTATTAGAGGGAAAGTTAAAAAGAAAATAAAAATAATGTCAAAAGATACTTTAGTGGTCAGCAGAAGTTATACTCAACCTGAATATCAGCTGAGGTCATCACCACAACCTTCAGGAGAAAGCCAAGGTCATTCAGAAAATAATACAGAAGATTCTACACAAAATAATGTAGAAGAAGAGAAAGATGAAGAATTTAATGAATACGAAGAAGATGAAAATGCAGAGGAAGATGAAGATTACATACATGATATGGAGGAGGATGAGGAGGGCACTGATACTGAGAAAAATGATGGCAAAAAAAGTTCCAAGAAGAAAAAAATGACTCCTGTATACAATATGGTCAAATTAGAATGTCCTCATTGCACTTATAGTACAAAGATAGAAGGCAGGTTAAGAAAACATTTGAAATGGAATCATGAAAACGATATTCTATTGCGATGCACTGTGTGCAATGCATTTGAAACAAAATCGAATAGGGTATACAGTGATCATATGAAAAAACACTTTGAAGGCCCTCCATTTAATTGTGAGGTTTTTGGATGTGATTATTCTACAGAAAAGTTCCAAACATTATTAATTCACAGAATGAAACATTTCGAAGAACGTCCATATGCTTGTGAGATTTGTAATGCCAGATTTAGAACGAGGAATAATTTGTACGCTCATAAGAAGACTCATACAGGTGAATGTTATAGTACAAGGATAAAAATACTGTTGTAAAAAAATACACAGATAAATGTGAGGTTTGCTCAAAAGAAATCAGCAGTGTTGGTTTTAAAAATATATAACAGTTTATGGCCAAACTCACTAAAGATCCATCTAAAATCCATCTAATTGAGAAAACTAAAGATACTTTTCCTTGTTGATACCTTTTTCTTGAATCAGTTGGAGTTTACCTGTCCATATAAATTTTAGCAAAATGTACTGTCCCATTGAGTAATGGACAATGATGGAGTTCATTCAATGTGACATTTAAATTCTCCTTGAAAAACCAATCATTCATTGATTAATTTGGCTGTAAAGATAAACTTCATGATAACGTTGACATATTTAATTAATTTTGTCATACATGTTATATTAGAATACTTGTTTTTACTCACTTGACCATACATAGCTTTAAGCAGATTTTAATGTTTACAGTACTAGTTGAGCTTATGAAATATTAAATAAAATTCCACAAGGTGCACTCATGGGCAAAGTAGCTTTTCATTACCTTAGAGTTTATGTTAAATCTAAAACAAGAAGCTTCTGTTGAGTTTATTATTTTTCTTTGCACAGTTCCTGCTTTTATTAGAACTCACAGACTGAATATATATAGAAAATACCTTTATCAAGGAACATGAGCAATTGGCTGACATTTTACACTGTTGATCAGGTTGAAAAAAAAAAGAAATTCAAACTGCAACCTAAACAATGCAAATATTTTGGCCCTTTAGTATTATTATTTAAATTTGAAAGTTTTGAATTATTTTTCAGGGAAAAGACCATTTCAATGTCCACACTGTCCAAAGTCATTTGCTGTGAAGAACACACTTGATCAGCATTTGGTAATCCATGATGACCTCAGGCCATATTTATGTGACTTTTGTGGATTTGCAACTAAATATCAATCACATTTAACAGCTCACAAAAGAACACACACAGGTATATTTATTTCTATGTTAGATCAGATTTTAATTTGTGTCTTTTGGTATTCAAAAATATTATTTAGCAGTAAGTGTGAAGAAAAAAAAAAGGTAAAATATGGAATGTGGCTGCATGGTGATACAATGTTTTGCAGTAAAAAAAAAACAATGAAAGGGAAGTCTGCACTGATATAAATATAGTGTGGTATGATTAAGCAATTAAAGGTCACTGTATGGCCTTCAACAATGAGAAAAACCCACAAGGCTTCTTCACCTAGTCGTCTATATAAGGCCCTGACATGAAAACTCTGAAACAATTCAAAAAAGACTAATGGCCTGATTTATAACAAAACAATTTACGAAAGACAATTATGACAGACATGAACATTGATTTATTGGTGCATGTACTAGATTCATGTATCCTGTACATTGAACATTTTGAAAGTAAAAAACAAATCTTTATATACATTTGTACAATTATAGACATTTCAATGTTTACTTGTAAGTTCATTTTGCAAAATGAAATCAATCTTAATTAACCCTTCAGTGCTCATAAACACTTTGCCATTGCTTTATTTGGAGGTACTCATTTTGTATCCATAAATCCTCCTAAACCTTACAATTTATATAAACTTTCTTACAATCTTAATCATGTAATGCCCATATGCACTTCCTATTTTGTTACTGTTGTGTAACTCTTATCAGAATCATTTTCACAGTTTCCTTCAGCAAATCATGTACACTCTTCAGTATATATATGTTTATACCCTGTTCTCCTCCTAAATCCCTTATTTGAATTTGATGAAATTTTCTGAGAATCTTCAACAAACAATGTCGTATCATCTATTTTATTTTAATCTCGTGCTCGCAGTATCTCTAGTTTTGTAATACCTCAACTTATAGAATGGGACATAAATGTTAGTTTTCAATACAAATTTCAAAAATTAGGTCAAATAAAGTCCTAACCACACCCTGTTGTATGTAAATGTATTGATGAAGAGTTTTATTAATTGCAGGTGAAGTTTTCAAATGTGAGCATCCAAAATGTAATTACACAACACCAAAGAGAAGTCAGTTAAAATGTCACATGCGGACACACCTTGGTATACGTAGCTATGTTTGTGTAGAATGTGGTAAAAGCTTCATAGAGAAAAGTCACCTTAAGAGACACGAAAAAATACACCTAAGTGATAAACCTTTTAAATGTGTTCTATGTGATTATAGTACTAATAGAAAAGACAAATTAAAGTATCATCTTAATAAAAGTCACGAACCAAATGGAGAGAAAAAGACCAAAGGTCGTCCATCAAAACCAAGGATAAGGAAACCTCTTCAACAAGTACCACCACCGATTATACTGACTCAAGGAGGAAAAATTCAATTACCGCCAACCAATGTAATAATGACTCAATCAAAATTAGACATGGATCAAGCAGTGTATGTCAAAAACTTTGATCATTCTGGTTATACCATTCAGGGTATTACTCCTGACACAGGAGCACATGCTCTCACATTAGAAGAAATAAGACGGGCTCAGTTTGGTCATGGTAGTTTAGAAGGTGTGACAATTCAAGTGCCAATCACTATGGAACATCTGGTCATGGCTAGTGATGAGGTCAATAAAACTTCTACATCGCGCCCTTTACCAACTACTAGTCCAGTAACCCCTGTGACATTGATTCCAGAAGATCATCAGACATACATACAGAATGTTATGACTCAGGTTCCTATGACATCTGCTGGACAACAGAATACTACCCAGAGTCAAGATTATAGCCAGCTTGGTCCATTCATTCAGGCTTTATTTTGAATGTATAAATAATTTTTTTGTAAATTTGAGTTTGTTCTGAAAGTTTTGGGATTTTACTATTTGAGTAGACCCAGTGTCCACCTCTGTGAGGTCCTTTGTGTCTTAAGCCATTTCTTAAAAAATTACAACATTTGGTTTGATAATTAATATTAAAAAACATTTGGATCAGGGGGAAGGAAAAAATACTTCAGATTGAGATTTTTGCCATTAGATTAACACAGAAATTAAATTCCACTGCTATTGCACTTTGGATTTTATCTTTAGGGTTTATCAAGAATATTTTGGGAAGTTGCAATCTTTGTTATCGTATATTATTTTGTTCTGTGGTTCATTGGTGCATTTTTAAAAGATATTTTTAAATGATTATAATATATGTTTTCTGTGTTCAAGAATTGTTTTTTTTACTCTATGTCCCCATAGTCATTGTGTAGACTGCATTATTTATGGAAAGGTAAGAGTATATAAGACTCAGATTTCTCAACATTCTTCTACTTCAGGGATCTTAGGTCATATAGGTTATGATTTATTGTTCCAGGTAGGGTACTAGTTTGTATAGGGTAACAGCTATGACCCTATATGGTCTTCGACCACTTTAAGTACAAGAAGGCAACTTTGTTTTACCATATATGCAACCATGTTTGTTTTGTTTTGGATTTTGAAGACATAAAATATAAATGAACTAAACTTTGTTATAACTCATGTTATCTGAATCTATACATGTATGTATTTATTTGTTTGGTTTTGTTTTAAATTATTATTATTATTATTATTATTTAATATGAATAGAATGAACAATGTTGAAAATGAATTATTATAAACTGTGTTTGTAAAATTCTTTATTGAAAAGTATATATATCAGAAGAATTTCACATTTATACTTGTTTAAAGAGAAATTTTGAGGCTCATAATATAATAATGAAAGATACAATATTTTTTAATTGATTATGAATAGTTGTTGAAAAGTCTGATAAATTTCCATAATTTTAACAAAAATAAATTTTCTGCCAGACAAATAATATTTGTAGAATCTGTTGGAAGTATTTAGAATGTAGTTAGAATACTTTTGAATTTCTCATCTATTTAATTTTTCAGGAAGAGGTTTAAGAGTCATTATTTGGCCCCTGGTATTGCAAAAATAGATAATCTATTAGTTGATTTAATCTTCTCTCAACATGTATGTAAATTTATTCACATATAACAGGATTTAATGTTCAGTAAGAAATATCTTTAAATGAGTTGAAGAGTTATTATTTGTTGTTGGCATGTACATGTATACTCATACAGAATCAATAAAAGCACAGAAAGTTTCATATTTTTAAGTTATTTAGAACAGGTTTCTTTATAATGTGATATGATACTTGTTCACGTATTCGCTTATGACAATTAAAATTTTATAATATCATAGTTCAATTGCTCTTAAACTACATGCATTAAAACCAGTTCTGACTAGTGTCAGCAATTTTAATGAATACATTTGTCTCCTGTAATTTCCTGCCATATATATTCAGAGTATTGGACTTTATAGCCTTTTCCATTAAATAATAGTAGAAATTAATTCTACCACTTAACCCTATTGACAATGATATTTATCCACTCTCAATAATTTAATTTTAAAATGCTGAGTAAATCTTGTATTTTATCTTTAATAAATTTAAATATTTCAATTGGATTTAAACATCATAATCAATGGGATGGAGTGGTAGAATCTATATTTATATTATATATACTGTTTTATGTTTTTGTCCATCCTTCCATCAATCTGTCCCTCCATCTGGTCATTTGTGTTTCTGTCCATCTGTCCCATGAAATTTTGTTCACACTTCATATCTGAGCTTTCAGAAATTTTGAATCAAGCTTCATGTGAGATGTGATGCCTTTTCACATCCATCCCTCATCAACTTCCTGTTAACCGAATACGGTTCTTAAAGCACAGCATTCAAAGTTATTCATAGTATTTCAAATATTTGAAATTGAACTGTTCAGCATTTTTAAAAGTATAGTAATTGCAGCAAGGTCAAATTGAGTGATAAATCTGGACAACATTCTTCCATATAAAAATAAGAAGATGTGGTACTATTGCCAATGAGACAACTCGCCCCCAGACACCAAATGACATAGAAGTTAACAACTATAGATCACCATATGGCCTTCAACAATGAGCAAAACCCAGTCTGGAAGCATAATAAAAAACTTGCACGTAGCTATGTTTGTGTAGAATGTGGTTTTCTTCCTAGCTGTCTGTTAGTTTCTGTACATCCATATGTCTTTCAGTCATCACTTTGTTGTTGCCATACCAGTGCCTTAATTTTTTGTCAGTTTCTCTTCAAATTTAAATGTAGTTTTCCACTTATCAAAACCATGAATGAGTACAATAATCTGAAAAATCTGAAACTGGAAACTATTATATCATGAAGGGGACTTGTAAAAATATTCCATGTTCATTCTGTAATAGTTCTTGTCGCCAAGATAGTGCCTTCATTTTTATCAAATCCTCATCAAATTGTAAGCCGTTACTTCAAGACAATGCTAATAGGAACAGGCAACCATTAATCATAAAAGTAATGGCAGTAAAAACTGAAGATTTTGCATTACAAACTAAGGTAATAGGTGCTATGAAATGGTAAGCATATCCAGTCTTATATGGGACTCCTATGTATTGCCTTGTTGTCAAGGTAAGTGATATTCAGTTGAAAAGTGAAGATGAGATCTGTGATGGCAGTTTTGTAACCAACCAGTCTTGAATTTGAAGTTTAACCTTCCTGAAGCTATAAAGACTTCAAAGAACTTTGGTACTGTAGTGAATATTAGTTCAATATATAACAGTGCTGTCAAGTCTCACACAATTTTTGGCAACATTTTCCTTTGATCTATTGTTTTTGCCAAATCTCAGACGTTGGCTTCATGAAAACTTGACAGCCTTGACATTAGTTACCTTTTCTTCAAGTATCTTTTGTCCATCATAGCTAAAACCATCTTATTATAAAAAATTATGGAAGCTGATAAATAAAGCCAGATACATTAAGATTCTACCACTGCATTGAGTGTGATACGATATGACTCGACTCAAGAGGGTTAAATTTTCAAATTTAAAATGCGAGGATCTGAGCATTTTAAATATTTACAATTTAACTGCTGAGAGCGGAGAAATATTGAGCTGCCCGAGATTTGATGGTGGAATCTATTTCTCTAATGATTTTTAGACAATATACAGACAAACTTAATCCATCTTTTCCAATGATCTGCAAAAACAGGTGATATCATCAGGCATGGTCAACTTTTGTAGTGATGTCACAATAGAAAATTCAGAGGAAAGCAAGAAAATTTGACTTCATAATTGAATTTTGACCAAGGAAGAACTGAGATCAAACAAACCACATGTCGATTAAAAAAATAATCAACAGGTCAGGAAAAGGAGACATTTTGCAAAAAATAGAGAAATAGCTACAATCTATGTTGTCATTCACCTTTAAAGCTAACCAACACTTTCAACAGACTTATTCACAAGGGATATAGTTACAATACTGTTGTCAAGACATTAAAGATGTCATTTTTGTCGAGCCTGCGACTTTTGTCGCAGAAAGCTTGACATAGGGATAGTGATCCGGCAGCCGCGTTAGCTAACTTCTTAAAAGCTTTATATTTTCCAAGGTGGAAGACCTGGATGCTTCATACTTTGTATATAGATGCCTTATGTTATGAAGTTTCCGTCTGTCATATGTCCATTGTCCTTGACCTCATTTTCATGGTTCAGTGACTACTTGAAAAAAAAGTTAAGATTTTTTGTAATGTTAATTTCTCTCTTATTATGAGTAATAGGATAAATATATTTAATATGTGTGTACCTTGCAAGGTCCTCATGCCCATCAGACAGTTTTCATTTGACCTCAACCTCATTTCATGGATCAGTGAACAAGGTTAAGTTTTCGTGGTCAAGTCCATATATCAGATACTATAAGCAATAGGTCTTCTATATTTGGTGTATGGAATGATTGTAAGGTGTACATGTCCAACTGGCAGGTGTCATCTGACTCTGACCTCATTTTCATGGTTCAGTGGTTAAAGTTAAGTTTTTGTGTTTTGGTCTTTTTTTCTAATACAATATGCAATAGGTCAACTATATTTGGTGTATAGAAATATTTTACAATGTACATGTCAGTCTGGCAGGTTTTATTTAACCTTGACCTCATTTTCACAGTTCATTGCTCAGTGTTTAGTTTTTGTGTTTTGGTCTGGTTTTCTTAAACTATAAGCAATAGGTCAACTATATTTGTTGTATGGAATGATTGTAAGGTGTATATGTCTGTCTGGCAGGTATCATCTGACCTTGACCTCATTTTCATGGTTCATTGGTCAATGTTAAGTTTTCATGGTTAAGTTTGTTTCTTAGATACTATAAGCAATAGGTCAGCTATATTTAATGCATAGATTGATTGTAAGGTGTACATGTCTGTCTGGCATGGTTCATTGGTCAATGTTTGGTTTTCCTGTTTAAATCTATAAGCAATAGGACAACTATATTTGGTGTATTGAATGATTGTAAGGTGTACATGTATTTCCAGTTTGTTTTATCTGACCTTGACCTCATTTTCTTGGATCATGTTAAGTTTATGTGATACTTATAGTAAAGTTTTATATTTAGGACTATCAACATAAAATCAATGGTCAGTAAAGAAGGCGAGACATTTAAGCATGTGCACTCTTGTTTGGAACTAACATTGGTTCAGTCATAGGATCTTTGCATTGCACTTTTTTTGTTTATGGGAAAGCTGAAGCCCGCCTTTGGGTGCAGGATTTTCTCACTGTGTTGAAGACCAATTGGTGGCCTTGGGCTGTTTTCTGCTCATTGGTCGGCTTGTTGTCTCTTTGACACATTCCCCGTTTCTATTCTCAATTTTACATTTATTTAAAAACCAGTTGTTGGCATGATACGGGTTATGTTTTCTCGTATAATTTATAATGACCTGATACTAAACCCCTAAGGATTGTGGTAGGGATTGTGGTCGACTTTCATTTGATGTAGATATAATCTTTCGATCAGTTTAATTGAGGTCTGGAGTTGGCATTTCAGTAACTGCTAAAAGTCCTTTGATAATTTATGTATATCATTGTCATTTTGATTAGGGGGCCGAGTGGTCTAAGTAGTCGTACTACTGTATCACTAGCCTGTCAACACTGATGTTGATTAGGATTGTCAGTTTTCCTACTGAAGGGGTGGTTTTCTGGGCACACCGGTTCCTCCACCAATAAAAACTGACTGCCACAAAATAGCACAATAGTGTTGAAAGTGGCATTAAACAACAATCAATCAATCAATCATTTGGATTAGTTTCTTCTGTTACCTATTCTAACATCGGACTCAAAGACTTCTTTTACTGTGCGTTTTGTTGTGTGTTTGTTTATTCCCCATTGCCTAGGGGTATAGGGGAGGGTTGAGATCTCACAAAACATGTTTTGCACCTGTCCCAAGTCCAGAACATCTAGCCTTTGTTAGTCTTGTGTGTTTTTTTAAATTTTGGTTCAATGTATGTTTCAGAGTTTAGTGTGGCATCCATTTCGCTGAACTAGTATGCATTCATTTAGGGGCCAAGCTGAAGCCTGCCTCTGGGTGCAGGATTTTCTCGCTATGTTAAATACCCATTGGTGGCCTTGGGCTGTTTTCTGCTCTTTGGTCGGGTTGTTGTCTCTTTGACACAACTTGTTTCTATTCTCTATACCACATCAGAGATTAATTTATAAGATTTTCATTATCATAACCAGCTGTCCCTTATCACGTTAAAGCTTGGGTTTATAGTTTTACTATGAAGCTGCAGTCACATCAACTCAAAACTTAGTATAAAGGTTCATTATTATGTGTGAACTTTCTAAAATATGTTTCAAACAAGAATTTTGACCCAGATTTTCCATTTTACAAAAAATATGTCCTTTAAGTAATTCCAGATCTAGATTTGTATCTGAAAAAATATAAAAGTCAAACTGGGCCAAGTTTGGTTTTGGTTAAGTCAGCTTGAGGATCATAATCAAAATGTGTACAAATCTAATCACATGTCAGTTTTTAGCATTGCCCAAGTGTGAAATAAATTCAGTGAAAATAGATCACTACTGTTTCTTATAGCTGTATGTTATGTGCTTAATTGCAGATCTGGATCACTACTGTAATTCCTGTATGGAATGTCCTTGATTGCAGATCTCAAACACTAGTATTCTTGACATATTTATTGATATTATAAAGCTTATAAATAATAAATAACAATTTACATATAATATCAAATTCATTTATATTTTTCTCCAACTGAAATACCAGTAGAGAGTTTATAAGATCTCATATACAACATGACTTCACTCCTTACAAATGTTTAATAAATATTGAACTCACTTTACTTTTCACAATATACATCTTTTTTTTTTTAGTGGAGAGAATTTTACCTTTGTTTTTTTCTCCATATAGTTTACCTTTTTACCTTTCACTTATGCTCTATACAAAATACATGATTACATCTCCTTTGTAATGTAAATGATTGATAAAAACTCTTTGATTAGTTCAAATATGAGACAATTATAAGACAATAAATCCTAAAATAGGTATACATGTTTAGGGAAGGAGATTATTGACATTTAACAGGTGAAAAACATATACTTATTTTAGATTTTCAAAGTTGAGGTATACTTTATCTCTTACCAGAAAACCCCAATGCAAATGATGCACGCAATGTTTTTATATGTATAGATGAAAGAAAGCATATACTGTAATTTATTCTTTTATATCTACCAAAATCTCTATTTCTTATTCACTTAAAAATTCTAAAATTGGATAAATCTACATGATTTTATAATTTAAAAGATCTTATAATGGAAAATCTATTGTGGTTTCATTTGTTTTCGTGGATACCAATGTTCATGAATTGAGGGAAATTATATTTTTTTTTATATTTGATTGCATGGTTTTAACCAAAGTCTGAATATATATATATGTATATGCCAATAGAAAATTTGTACTTCATTGAACTATAAATTTTGTGGTTTTTGTATACCAATGAATAATACTGAATCCACAGTATTAGTGGAGGCTGTGGTCTTGATAAGCAAACTTTAAGTTGAAGTGACAGAAGATAAGCTCCTGTCCTACATCTTATCTTTGGTGACAACATATAAATGCATGCCCTAAGTTTAGGTATGCATATTAATGAGCTATAACTTGATCCCAATCAATTTGATTTGAAAAGACTTCTATGTCTAACCATCGTTCATAATTTTGTTTAAAATCTTCACAAAGTTCTAGATCTTCTCCCAACACACTTTGTGTACAATTATCAACTGGTTTAAAATCAGGATCAGTGCCATTGTTTCCATAACGCCTGTTGTTAAATCTGTCCACACATGCTCGTAAGGCACATTCTTCTGCTTGGAAATCCCATGGTCTTGCATCCATGTCTATTAATAGATAAAATAGAGATAATGAATAAATGTCAAATCAGCCATCAGATTGTTTTTATATTTTGTCAGGAGACATAGTGCAGTAAGGTGAACATTCTTTAGATCCTATCCATTTCCATATAAAGCAATTTATTAATGATGTATACTCAGATTTTCAAATTACAAAATGGATGTACAAATTTTCAAATCATATCAGAACTAAAAAATTTCATTGTCTTGCTAATCTTCAAAACCGAAGCCCCTAAAATGAAGATTCATATCTTCCTCTTTGTTTTCAATCTAAAACTTAATCGCAGTGTACAAACCACTCTATTAACACTATACAATCTCTTTCACTTACCATTACCAAAAGCCCAGTCATCATTTAGTCTGTGTCGGACCTTCTGATAAATAGCCGACATTGTTTTCATGTTACTCTTCCTCCATTGTCTACCTAGGTACTTTGTTTGCATCTTCAGTAGTTTTAGAATATAAAGCTGCATCATGGCCTGTTTTACTTTCAATCCTCTTTTTAAGATTGGTGCAGATTTAAATACTACTAGCATCTGAAAAGTATATTTGTTACATTAAAACAATCTCAAGGCAATCAGTTTTCCAATAACTATTTATCACATTTCAGCTTTTGTTGTTTTTTTTTGCAGTAAAAACTAAATTCAAGTTGAAAAGGAGTATACTGGATTCAAGATTTCTTACAAATGATAGAAAAATTAAGTCTACTAGAAAAGAAACGAAAAACTGTTTGTTGAGATTTAACATCACATTTAATCAATTTCAAGCAGTCATTTTATTTACAAAGCAAACTAGAGTTTGGTAAGAAAATGTCCGCTCTGTCGTGCAATCATTGTAACTAGAAACTCTGCAAATGATTGGAGCAAGTCTCAAACCCCTACCATTGTTCTTGAGTGCTTCCACTTTGTCAGTTTATTCAGAATTCTCAGTAGATTTATACAAGAAAAGAGATTCCTCCAACAATATTGCTGACTATCACCATTCTCCTGAAAAAAAGATGCCCAAATTATATCAAATTTTCTAAACAATCGCAAGTCACAGTCTTTATCTAACTCTTTAAAAACATATACAGATTTGTCTCAATCAATACTGTAAATTCAGAAATTATTGCGTGCATTTATTATTGCGATTTTGTCATTTTAGACTAAAATACGATTTTAATGTTTGCGAAATTGAGAAAAATCCTGTTTAATTCATATAAAAAATTTCAAAATGTGAGTTTAAATTATTGCGATTATAACCCTGTCGCATTTTTCGCAATAATAAAAACATCGCAATAATTTCTGAATTTACAGTATTTATAAACCGTGGATTCATTTATTATAAAGGATTGAGGAAAAAATTGTGTAATCATGGATATTTGATTTGGTGGATTTGCCAAAGTCTGCAAACAAGCCTATAGAAAACTTGTAATTCTTTGGACATTTAAATTTGTGGTTTATCCTGTACCCACCAAATACAATAATACGTCCCGTAAACGGGCGTATAAAAAAAATGGTACCCAACATATAATAACGAATCCACAGAAGCACAGTTCTTTATCTTATATGTTTTTTTTAATAAAATGCCAGTAGAATTATAATGTAATAACTATACACAGTTCCAATTATTTTCCTTACACTTGGCATGTAAAACAGGACAAAATGGACAAACAAAATTTTGAGTATTTTCTATTCCAAATATTCATTTTAAATATCATAAAAATGTTCATTTAATTATCATGATAAAATTTGACAAACAGGTACACTAAACTTTTCATAAATACATGAGTTAAGACACTTTTTCACATAAACATTCAAATTTCCTTATAATTCTTGAATGTCTTCTAAGGAATTTCAAAACATTTTTTTTTATCTTTGACAACTAAAATAATTATTTATCGAATATTTGAATGACTAATTGACTTACCAAAGCCTCTGCTGTAAGTTCAACTTGATCTCCAATTACACAAGATGGGAAATCCAACACTGGTATACTATATTAAAATATAAATTAATGTCTATAAACTGCAAATCGAGGATTTTGCCAATATTCAAAATTTGTGAAAAGCCTGGAATGTGTTCATCTGTTATTTTCTTATAAAATTATGACATTTATGCAAGAAATAAATCAGTCTTAGACTTTGCTGAAATTCATCTTAATATGAATATTTGTCTGTATCTTAATAAATCCGATTTTTTCTTACATTTTCTTCACAATGTTAGTGAAAGCAAAGTATAATTTAAAAGAGCTTAAATACCTATACAAAAGATTAATTTATTATGGAATAAGTAATCCTAAAATTCAAATGTTGAAAAAATATTTAAGGAGAGATGAACAATGCATTAATTCACTAAGCCACATAGAGCATGAGTAAATTATCACTGCTTTTTCCAAACATTTTCCAATGCTTTGAATTCTTTGCTTAGTTATTCTTTTTATTACATTTACTTTTATATGAAAACTTGTTAGTTGAACATAATTATTCAGTTTCTGAAAGACACATATAATTTCCCCATGATTTATAAAATTCATTATCAACTGATAATTTTGTGAAAATTTAAGAAAAATCAAAATTTTATTTTGACCTCAAGATGCTGTTTTTATTATTTTCTTAGATCTGTTTCAGTTTTAAATATTTTAGGAAAATTAATTTCTAAGGAGTTTCAAATATGAAATTTTTTTAAAACCTTCACAGAAATCCTTTGGAGGGAAAATATTTACATGTAGAACTTACCTATTTTTTGCACCAATATAGGACATGATATTCTGGTTGAAAAACTTGAGCACTAATGGTATACAGTTGGCAAATACAAGATGTTGACTCATAAATTCAAACTGAAAAAGTTCAAAAATGCTTGTCATTACTAATTCTACTTTATAAAATTTGTGATTGTGAGAATATCGGGAGACTGTAATTCAGTGGCTTTTGTAAGTTGCTGTCTGTCATATTTGATTTTTTTTATTGTTTGTCGTAAATCAGGCTGTTGGTTTTTTGTTTGAATTGTTTCACAATTTGTCATGTCGGGACTTTTTATAGCTGACTACATGGTATGGGTTTTGCTAATTTTTGAAGGCTGTATGGTGACCTATAATTGCTTACATCCTAGTCATTCGAATTCTGGTTACAACAAACTAAATTACCGTTGTACTAGAAATTGGCACAGGCACTATTTACATGAGAGTGGATTGTAATACTAGGTTTATAACATCAACCTCTCTTTTGTATGACAGTACTTCAAGATGCATCAGTGGAAACTTCCAAAGAAAATAGCAGTATATAATACATACCCAGTGAAATCAAGTTATGGAGGAACAACCATTTACAATGACCTTAAATAGATCATAACAAACTTACCTGATACACATGGTTCAGTTTAAAATGCTTCAACAGTAACAATGTCAACCCTGATATGGCCTTGACAATAATTTCTTTGTGTCTGTTGACATCTATACCAAGTTTCATTGATTGTAACACTGTAGTTCTATGAAGCAAAACAACAGAAAATAACAAGAATGTGTCCGTAGTACACGGATGCCCCACTCGCACTATCATTTTCTATGTTCAGTGGACCGTGAAATTGGGGTCAAACTCTAATTTGGCATTAATATTAGAAAGATCATATCATAGGGAACATGTGTAGTAAGTTTCAAGTTGATAGGACTTCAACTTCATCAAAAACTACCTTGACCAAAAAATTTAACCTGAAGCAGGAACAGACAGACAGACGCACAGACCAGAAAACATAATGCCCCTACTACTATCGTAGGTGGCGCATAAAAATATTTTACAAACAAAACTGAAAGTTAAACAAGTACAATGTCATTACAGCCAATTTTAATGTTGGATCCTACCAAAGGTAAAAGATGCAACCAATGGCAACTGGCAAGCTGGTAAACATGAGTGTAATCAACTTGCAAGTGAGAAATATCAACTATCTTAATCCTTAACCAATAAATATCCTGTTTGGCCATCTTTAAACTATTAATCATCTTACTTATGTGTCTTTATATATTGTTCTGAACAAAGAAATTTTGAAGTGATACATACAGTGCATGGACATATGTATTCATCACTTGTGATTTTTCACTATATATTTCATGTAAAACAATTTCTTTTTCTAATTATTTTTATATTGTTTTCAGTTTAATGTATAGTTGTATACTTGTGTCATCTCAATAAAAATATCAAACTGTTAATTAATACTTACGGCATTTCTTCAGGTAAAACATCAGACAGGATATTTATAGAATCAGTCTTTGTTTTAGATGTGGGTGCTGCTGCCAATAAAATCTTCAGCAAAGCAATCTGCAGTTAGAAAGGATCTAATTAGAAACAATCCAAAATATCTTATAAGGCATACTAGATCACAATGACTTACTTTCATGAGATAAAATAGTAAAGAAATAAAAAACTAATAAATATCTCCCTGTAGCAAATTCTAGCAACCAAAATAATGGAAGAATGTGTCAGTTGTTCTGTTTGTTTACTTTCAATGCTGCAACTATTGGTAGATTTTAGATCTCTTTGGATACCCTCACTCCCATCTACTGTAAATGTGATCTCACAAATACTAACAGTGAAAACTATCATAATAAGAGTAAAACAAGAGGTTGTCAAAATGACAGCAAACCAAGTTTTTATTCATTTATTAGTGTCATTGTTAAGGCAATGAAGAGCCATTACTTCTGAACAGCAAAAGTGAAAGTTGCCAATATCAAACTTTACCCCCACTTTGTCATCAGTAATAACATATCTGATCACATCTAAATTTGAAACCAACAGATTGAACAGTTTTCAAGTTATTGTGGGGAAGCAACCATTTTTTCCATTAATTCAAGGTGCATAACTTCTGAGTTACAAAAGTGAAAATTGTGAATATTAAATTTGACCTTCATTTTGCCATCAGTAACAACATTTCAAAATTTGAAAAATATTGTTTGAACCATTCATATGTAATTGCACAAAAATTAACTAGAGCTGCCACCCCTTCACCTGACTGGCAACTGTATAACCGGATTTCAGTAAAAAAACCCAGTTAATAAAAAGTATAACTTTCATGAAGGGTTAACACCATTTAGGACAAACTGTGTAAATGTTTGTACATTGTTGTAGACCATACAATGTGTTTAATGTCTATTTCTTTTGGTTGCTGTCCTATTGAAGTTTACATAAGATTCTTTTTTTTTCATTTTATTTCCTCAATCTTATCCTACATACATAAGTGAACTAATCAAATTCCATAAGACATTAACTGGTATCAACAACTAAAATTTTATGTACAATGCATTTGGCCTCTCATGACATACAAAAGCTACTATAGAGTTGTTTTAATCTTCCTGAACATAAAAAAAACTAAGAGGGATATTCCTTATCACAATAAACAGTCAGGGGTACTACTTGTACCAGTAATCTTTATTTACTTGAAGAAGTAAAAAAAATATACTTATATAAGTTAATTATAATGTTTGAATAATCTCCCCTTAATTTTCTCAAAAATTTACTTGTATAAGTAAACTTTTTTTACAATCCCACAAAAATTCTAAAGTTTTGAGATGTAAAAACATGCCTTTAATGATTTTTACCAGGTTAGCTCATAATTTTTTATTAGAGTTCAATGTTTCATCTCATTAATTCAACAAAGAAACTGATTGCGCAAAGATCTTAAGTATTTGCGCAAGGCCTTCAAAAATTGTCCCTTCGGGGCTGGTAAATGAGCAGTGTATTGAAGATAACAGATAAATGAGATTTTCATTGTCCATGAAATTACACTTACATGATTAGTAAAGACATCTGCAAAGGACAGACAATTGAAAATTCTATTAGAGCAAAGAAGTCCTAAGAATTCAAGAAAAGAAGATAGGATGACTTTTTTACTTATATAAGTAAAAAAATCTGAATGTCTAAGGGACATAACTAAGCCAAAAAATTATTTACCTATACAAGTAAATAAAATACACTTGTATAAGTATCCTACAAATTTACTTATGTAAGTATATTAATATTACTTATTCAAGTAAATAAAAATTACTTGTACAAGTACCGTTCCAACTCGCTTATTAGTCGGAAAATTGGGAGTAAAATTCATAATCCAGAGAGGGGGACCGACTAATAGACGAGATCTAGCGACCAGAGGAAAAATCCAAGCTTGAGAAAAGTGGTCAGGAGTGAATTTCCTGGTCAAAACTACGTTTTTGATTGCCAAACCTACATAAATCAATAAATAAAAAGTTTTTGTTGAAAATAAATGACTACAATACTGTCTTTGTCTTTTATTTGTTCTTTGGTAAACATTTTCTGCAAATTCGTGTTGAAATTCTACTGTTTCCGGTTTGTGTATTGATTTTCATGGTCACATGGTTTTCCTATAAACCCAAAAGAAGAGCCAAGAACCAAAAATGAAAAGGAGATAACAATGTACCAAATATGTGAAAGGATGTTTTCAGCGGAGTTATTGTGTCATTATTGTGATATCATGATATCAATTCAATGCTTATAAATCATATAATAATCAAAAAATAATTTTGATATTCATTCCTAAAATCAAAATATTATTCAGTAAAGTGTCTCAGGTAAACAAAAATTACAAAATTGATTGACAAGCCAATATAATCCATTGATAACCCCAATTAAGAGACAAAGAGTTGTATTTACTAAAGGTGTGAAAACTATCAGTGATAGGTAAACAGATGACACTAATGAGTTGGAGTTAGTTATTTTAATATATTGATTAGCTTCACTTAATTGTTTTGATCCTTTGATCATCACAATATAATAAGAATTATGAAGTGTACATGCTCATTTAACGTCGAGTTATGTATGCTGTGAAAATAATTTTCATCAAGTGTTGATTGACTTTAAATTTTTCAGGTTCATATTGGTTTATGTTCGCTTTTCTCAAACAATAGGTTGTTAGTCATACCCTACAAAATCATTGATGCATTACGTAAACAACACATGGCTAATCTAACATTTGAACAGTGAACAAAACAAGAGAAATGAATACATCTTTATTATTAACAGCAATATAAATTATCATGATGAGCATCAACTAAATTCAAACCAAACAAACGTTAATGCAGAAATGAATATTATTCCTGGATTTGCATTGGTTTAACCGGCGTTCAGTTACTGTCAGCTGAGAAAAAAAAATGCCCAAATTTTGTCCGACTTATACGAGGGTCAAGACTAAATCCTTAGAATTTGGAGCTGAAAAGGGCCCCCGACTTATAGTAGGATCGACTATTAGGCGAGTTTCTACGGTAGTACCCCTGACTGATAAATGTTGTCTGGTAAAGTTTAATGAAGATCAAACATGATGCTTAATTTGTAATGCTTGGATTGTAGCACTTTATTGAATTCATTATATAATAATTGCTAGGATTGTAGCAAACATTACTTTATTTTAATAAGTTTCCCTCTGTTGTTGGATATTCACAACTGAAAGAAACTTATTATTTTTTTGTAGTAACATACCATGTACTGTGGCAAGTTTGGTAATAATTCCTGATAAAATATTTCTACAGGAGTACTCTGTATCTCTCCTTCTGGCTACAAACATAAAGAATTCTTATATGATATTCCGTATAGGTCAAATAATAATTTTACAACTTTGTATAAAATAGAAACAATTTTACACATTTTTATATTGTTAACATCTTAACTGCTTGACAAAATGTAAAAGACATGCACATTTATATCAGGAGACTAAGACATTTTGACTTCATATTGTATGATTTTTTTAAAATTTACACAATTTGCTCATCAAAACTTTGACTATAAATTTGCATTGTGTCAATATTCAGTGCTTAATGAAGATTTGAATGCATTTAAGTGCAAAAATCTTAAATCTTAAGGTTTTTTTTTTACTTTCTTCTATGTATGGGACGTGTTGCTCCAAAGTCTTGTATTTGCTCCTTTGTACCCAGAACGAATGGCTTTGTGTTTTGTATCCATGGTTTCCCTTTTGGTTATGGCACCATAATATCATAAAGTAGTTGATTGAAAGAAAAGACATCTTGACCATTACATAGATGTATTAGACAGGTTTAGTGACACATCAAGGAGATGTGCTGTTACATAAAGTGCAGTACGTAAATAATATTCTATGTCAGTATTAACAAAACAGCCTTATCACAGATTATTACATACTGTAGAGTGGGAAATTTTCAAGAGGGTTTATTTTCTCTAAATTTGATGTATAAGGATAATCAGACATGGGAAAAATACATGAAAATTAATCCTCAGGAACAGGTTCTCAAACTCTGTGAAAATAAACCGCTTTACAGTATTGGTTTTTAAGAACCCAACAGACATCAATAGTTGAGCAGAAACTGGTAACCCTCAGTTCATTTCAGGTTTTTGGTGAGGTTCATTTTACTCAATCTAATACTGCGACAATACAAATTATCATTACAAGAATGGGCAAGAGTACATATTAATCTTTAACTCAGATAGTAAATAGTTAGTGATATTTCAAATGTACAGAAGCAGCATCAAATGATAATTTTAAAGCTCACCTTGGACAAAGGATTTTTTGCCATTTCTTCCTCTTTTTTTATCTGAATTTCTGTTAGTGATATGTATAAATGCTGGAAAAAGATAATCATTCAGTTTATAAACATTCTGATTTAGCTGTTCTGTTTATACCTTTTTTTGAGTTGAGCTCTTGAATACTTTATTTGGCTCCCCAAACTACTGATCTTGACCATACCTGATAATGATTACTGTTGATTCATTTGTTTTCCTGGGTACAAATTTTCATGGATTGATGAAAAATTAAATTTTTGATGTATTGACAGATTCTGCATGCAGGCCACTAATTTCTATTTTGTTAAACTTGAACTTATGATTCCCCTTCTCCCAAGAAATCCATGAAAATTTGTACCCAACATATCATAAGGAATCCAAAGTATTTCAGAAGCATGTGTCATATGAACTGAAATCTGTATCATGTTTATATTGCATTGAAAAAAGATGTTGATGTTTGTTTACTAACAAGATATTATGCATGGTACTTTATATAATGCTTTACTTTTGACTAGAGGCCGACGATAAACTCCTGTGATCTATACATGTAGACTTCAAACAACTAGCAAGATCACCAGGGCACGCTTATGCATATACAATATTTTGTAGATTTTAATATATATGGTGGCCAGGTTAATACAAATATTCCAATTTTCAAATTGATGAGAATTGCAGTTGCTAATTTTACGGCAGTAGCATGGATAATATTGTACCTGTTTCAGAACCTTGACACCTTCATGTATTGGTCTTGGTAACCCAGCTAAAGATGTAAAATCATTCTTTACATGGAAACCAACAAATTTCTTCCTTGTGTGCTCTAAAAATAACTCTAAATCTTTTTGTCTGAAAAAAATAAATAAGGATAAATAAAACTGAAATTCAAAGAAACTAATTTAATTCTCTTGCAATCACTCATGACATAAAATGAGAATGGCTAAAAATATTTAAGTTGTAAAATGTTTTTTTTACTATTTCCCATTTAAAAAATTTCTAATATACCATAATATACCAAATCACAGAAGCATAAATATTTTAAAAGAGTTGATCAGTCACAATACTAGTTTAGCAACATTTTTCTGCAGTCTTATTCTTTAGATATCAGAAAAGTCGTCTGATCTGTAATTTTACCAATTGTGTCCTATTCTGGATTGTGACATTTAGACTTGAGTGTGAATTCCCATGGCAGGTGATACATACCTAGCAGTAGATGCTTACCTTGTCCATGCATCCAGTCTCTTCTTTTGGAGTTCATGCCAATCCCTCGATTTTTGTTTGTTACCTTGATTTGCCTCCAAATCGATATACCGGTACAAGATTTGAACATCAGTTAACTACTGTCACCTAAATTTATCCTTGCAATATGTCTATAAGCTTTTTTAGTGGCTGTCATCTCTTTTTGATGACAAAATCACCCAAAATGTTCACACAACTTGTGGATAGTTGTCTCATTAGCAATCATACCACATCTCCTTATTTTTATACACATGAGCTCAATTCCTACCTAACTTTAGGTTTCCATGGTAGTATTCTATATTGTGGAACTGTTGGTGTTGAGGGTCTAGGTGGTGTTGGTGGTAGCTGTTCATCATCACCATTTGGTTTTATTCCGTCTACATCTTTCATCAGATCATCCGCATCATTCCCATTTTCAAAGGGGTCATCATTCAAACTACTCTGTTTAACCAAGATCTTTATAATGCGATGTTGCCGAGCAAGCCATACAGTGCCCGTAGAAAGATAGGATAGATGGCGCACAGAAAAGAGGTTAGAAAAGCAAGCATATTAGCAGAAGAGCACACATATTAATATATTACACCATACAAATGTACCAAATGCACAAGCTGTCTCTATTATTAGCAATTAAAGGGGGAGGGTAGGAGGGGGTCTCATCCAGAATTCTAGTGAAAATAATGAGTCCGTTCGAGCATCACAATATAATTATATCTTGAATTCACAACAATTTAACTGGCTAATCCCCAAATTCCCACGAATCAAACGGCTGAATCCAAAATTCCTTAAAAAAGGCCTTCCACACCTCATTCACATGTTAATTTTCATATCCTTTCCTTTTCTGTTTAATCATCTGAGTCCTTTTAAAAAATAAATGGGGAATGTGTCCATGGGTCACAGATGATGCCCCCGCTTGCATATCATATAAAGTTATAAAGGGACATAACTGAAGAATGGTAAAAGTGACCCAACCCAAATTTGTACTTGATCTGAGTTTTGTGGTAATAAGTATTGTGTATAAGTTTCATAAAATTTGGTTGAGGCAAACTTAAGTTAGAGAACGGAAACGAAATTCAGCAATTTTTCCATTTGTAAAGGGGCATAACTCTAGAACAGTAAAAGTGACACCACCAAAATTCAAACTTGATCTGTTTTTTGTGGTAATAAGCATTATGTATAAGTTTCATAACATTTGGTTGAGGCTAACTTAAGAAAGAGAATGGAAACGAAAATTTCAGCAATTTTCCCATTTGTAAAGAGGCATAACTCTAAAACGGTTAAAGTTACGCCACCAAAATTCAAACGTGATCTGTGTTTTGTTGTAATAAGCATTGTGTATAAGTTTCATAACATTTGGTTGAGGCAAACTAAAGTTAGAGAATGGAAACCAACTTTGGAACGTATGTACGTACAGACGGACAAGGGCAAAATTAATGCCCCCTCCACTACAGCGGGAGCATTAAAAACATGAGGTTGACTGGAAGTGGTCTTCATAATTATCAAAAAGTAACCATTCTTTGTCTTTGAATTATTTACCAGACATTAAAGCACAGTTTAAATTCTATAATTTTATGTTCTACTTTTGGAAAACCCCATAATCATTCAATTATAAAATTGAATAAGCACAAGATATGCCTTTTGTATGCATACTGAAATTGTTGCAAGAAATAAATGGGTCATTGTAGAAGGCATTCAATCCAAATTAGGTAAAATGACCCTACTGAAAAGTTGCAAAATATCTTTAATAGAAGTTAAATAATTGCCTGAAATTTGATGCTTAAAATGTTTGATAAATGAGTCACCCATTAAAAACAAAATTGCTGTGTACATTTGTTACATGTGACATTGTTAGTTATAGTTATATATATATATACAAGTAAACAAATCTAAACCAAAATCATGCACTCTTACAGATCATTATCAGACATAATACATGTACAAACAGTTATGTACGCCAACATATTTGAAAGTGATGTAAATGGATACGATAACCTAAATCTACTGTGGGATTCATTTATTTTCATGGATACTTATTTTTGTATATTTGTATTTTCGTGGATATTTGATGTCATTGTTTTGACAAAGTCTGAATACAAGCCTATTAAAAATTTGTACTTCTATGAACATCTAAATTCATGGTTTACTTATGCAAACAAAATCCATAAAAATTGGTTTTTCATTAATAATGAATCCACAGAACTTTTTTTTCCAACAACCAGTATTGCTTATTGCTTATTGTAAATAGAACTCTTTTTATCTAATATACTTTAACCATGGGACAATTTGTGAAATATTATTGGAATTTGTTGAGGTTAAATTCAATAAATCTTATAATGTTGAGAAGTGAGTTTTTTTTTCAAAGTTTTTCTAAAACAGACATAATTATATTTCATTACGATTTGGTTCCTTTTTGAATGAGCCATTTCTCAGCCTCATAAACAAGATCTCCATCACAGACAACAACAAACCAAAACCTTTTTTAGCAGCTGCATATACATAAAACAATTTATTGCTGTATATAATAACATGAAAAAAACAAAGACATGCTTATACAACAGGACATGAACTTTCAATTGACAAACTGAGAGAAAAAAGTTGAAAAAATGTTAACAAAAAAAAACCTAAAATGAAAAAGTAAAAGAGAAATAATAAGGAAGTGTACATTAATCATTAACTTTAATCTCTATAAGAGTAGTATCATTAACTTTTAACATGATTTTAGATTCATTAAACAATAAAATCTCTGACTGAGAGTTTATATCACATCCTCCATATAGCTAAAATCTGCCAAATATAAGCATTGAAAAGGCTTAAGGTGTTTGAACATGGCCATACTATCTCATATAACTGATCAAAATTAGCTGCCATCTGCTGTTAAATTATTACAGGGAATGCTCATGATTGTGGGTGATTCACTCTGAAATATCTATGTATATTCCATAAGCAATATAAGACAGGGTTGTAAAACCTTCTATCAACCCCACCAACATTGTATATGCAACAACAGGAAGGATGATATATAACTGACTAATATGAAAAGGTTCTATTATAATAGACATGTACCAACATTTTTATATGTATGTAAAAAAAAAACCAATTCATTCCACTGAGAAAAAGTCAACTCATGTTACAGAAATTGGACATGTGAAGAATGTAGTTAAACCTTTTAGTCAGAGGTACATAATTCAATCAAGGAATAGGTACCATAATAGATCATGTGATCACTAACTAAAGACCAGGATGTTAGTACAATCTTTTTTTATACAAATTTCCGATTGACTTGTTAAAACTTAGGAAACTGTTTATTGGAATATTTTGGCAGAGTGTCTATGTAAGTGTCAAACTTTTCATCACTTTTCTTTCAATTTTCTACATTTACAGCAATCTTCGTCATGGTACTAACTCCTAAAGGCAAACCATGCAACAAACAACTTGCTTCAAGTCCTTTTAATAATTAAATAGATTATATCACATAAATTGTTCACATTTATCCCAATAAAAAAATTCTTACATCATTATACCATCTCTGAAATTATTTTGTAGGGCTCACTTTCTGATAATTTTTTTTTTTAAAGTACCATATACCAAATTGTTTGATCTGGACGAGGATTGAGCCCACAACCTCATAAGGAGGTTCTCATGTACATGATGTATTATCCCTATCTATCATTTTCCTTAGACAGTAACATGCACTTGTAAGGGAGATAATTTACATACTGATAGAAGCCAAGTATAGTCTGTTAATAACTAGAAGGACTTAAAATAGATAAACTACAACTGCTTTAAAAATTGTTAGTCTTAAATAAGATCAGTGTAGCCTAAGTCACAAAGGCGGATAAATTTGTATGATGTTTTTTCATTCAATAAATTGTAATCATTTCAAAGTTACAAATGTGCCCACTGTTGTGACCTTAAAATTATTATAGTTGTTGAGATAGCAGCTAAATCTTTACATTTTTAATAATGGCTTAAAACAGTAGAAACTTTCAAATAATTATATTAAGTCACTGAGCATTCATTTATTTTCATGGATATCAATTTTTGTGGATTGAGGAAAAATTTCATGGATATTTGATTTCGTGGTTTTGCCTTTGAAGTCTGAATCTGAATACAAGCCTATAGAAAGTTTGTACTTTGTTGAACATTTAAATTTGTGGTTTACCAATACACTGTACCCTTGAATTCCGCTAAAATTGATATCCTAGGAATGATAACAAATCCACAGAAACTTATTGTGGGTACATCAAAATAAAGACAACTTGACATCATTGATAAAGATGTCATCAATATACTTTTGAAATCCCCCACCCAGAAATCATTTTAACTAACTTCTGCTACATTTCTAACAACTATAATATATACTAGCGCATGATTAGAAGGCCATGCTGAGGATTCTGTTTATAAGGATTTGTTTATCATATGATGCATTGCAATGCCAAATACTGACAAACCTTCATCATAAACAGATCATCCTATACAAAATAGGTAGAAATCATTAAAAATAGTTAACAAGAGTTTAACTCTTATATATTGTAGTTAAACAAAAAAATGAAGAATAACTGAAGTATTTCGTTAGTATGGAAATATTATACATTGACTAGAATTTCTAGGAAAGTTAAGTGAGTAAATATATGGTTGATATAATTTTATTGCATCTGGCATCCTATGTCCAAGATTGTTCAGTGTGTTAACATCTAATGCAAGTTAATGACATTCAGTAAATATAAAACATTCAATCTAACCATGGAAAATTCAACTTGCACCTTTAAAAATTTCTTGTCAGTCCCATTAGACAAGCTGATTTTTTATTGACCTTTATATCTCCAAATTCTATGCATTATTTTGAGAATAGGTACATGTATAATCTTAAAATCAGTTAACCACTAGTGATGATGAGTGTGTTTAACGACCTTGACTGGCTATAAATCCCTTGCAAGGTCGGTGTTAACCAATGTTGATTGATCAGTCAATATAAATATTTCACTTTCATAAATAAATAGTCAAAAAAGGTACCGAGCGAACGATATAAAACTCAGTTTTTGGAAATACTACTACGGAGGTAAATATCCATTACTGATTAGTTTGTAAAAAACTTTCCATGGCTAAATTAAACTTTGTATGAACATCACTTTATTTTCAAACATCTGTCATAAAAAATAACTTAATAATATTTCAAACACTACATATTGAGAGATAATTATCATAAATATTTCCAAATTCTAAAAGGTAAATTGTAAATTTTCATAAAATGTGCAATTCAAAACTAGGAATCAAAAATTGCATGAAACTGAATAAGAACATAAATGATTTTTGAACAAAACATAAAACACTAATCTCAAAAATTAATTCAAAATAGGGTTAGAAGGGAACAAATGAAAAATTTCCTGCTTAATATGAGAGTTAAAAGACAGATGGAATATGTGAATACATACCCGCTTTCCTCCCCTGAAAGCTCTGCGTGGAAGTTGTTGTTCTATCAAATCTACAGCTGAAGCTGGTGGGGATGAGGCTCTCATGTTCTTACAGACTTCATATGTATCTTCTGGTAGGGGAGATAATCCATGAGACTCTCTTACTTTGTTTTTTGTATCTTGTAAATCTTTTAATCCTCCCAAGCAAATCTAAAATGAAAATATTTATATGATCTTTAGCAAAATTTCATTGATTCAAAAATTAATTTTTAAAAAATCTGCACTTCATTCAGATTTCATTAATGAACGTGTTAATATTGTAATGAGGAATTTTATTCTAATTTCTGTGATATGGATATTTAAATATAATCCCTGTAGTAGCTTTTATTTGTTTGCTTTTTATCAATATTTCCCTCAAAATAAATTCTTCACTTTATCATATATGTTGGTAAATTTGCAAACAACTCACCATTTAAACTTTAAACTATCGATTCTAGTAAATAACCTGAACCAAAATAATAAAAAGACTTTCCAATTCTTCAAAATAACATATTAGATATAAAAATTTTGAAAAAAAATCAAAAAGAAAATGAATTTCATTAAAAATTAAAAATGGAGACATTACAGGATGATATACTCACCAATGTTATTTTCCAAAGTAACAATAAAACTTTTTTCATTGGAAAATGTGGAGCATTTCCACTGCAGAACTTTGTTACCATGACAAACAAACTCACAAGTAAGACAGAATCTCCAATATATGGCTGAACTGTAATAAATAACAAATTTTTATTATGTTTTTTTAATAAAATAGACAATACTTATAAATTGCAAGCATCTGTATAGTGCGGAGTGATTGCTCCTAGAAATCGTTATAATGACAAGCTGCACTGGTCAAACTTAAAATATGCGACTACACACGATTTTCTAATGTTTTTAATATAATGGACACATATGTATACTGTATGCATGTGATCCAAATGCAATGGTGGTGATATTTTTCTTTGCCCCATCTCACCAAAATGCATATTTTGTCTTTTTCTATTTTATGCACATAAATACTTTAGTATCCTGTTATCCTTTTCATGTGTTAGTGGAATGTCTAAAAGTCAAAGTAGAAGGAACCTGATATAACTATTTGACTTATTCAAAGTTCAAGTTATCCCAGGTTATAATTTACATTATGATTAACATTTATTCATTTTTCTGTTAATTGTGTACCTGATATCTTCAACCTTGTATATTTAATGTTCAAAATAGTACACCAATTTTTACAACAATATCTTATTATAAGGTACCAATACAAACATTCAACACACGCTGTAGCTGGAATTTTTAATGAACTTTAGTTTTAATATTTTAAAATCATTCATATTCAATTAATTTTAATTCTCATGATTTTTTTTTAATCTTAAATTGATTTTATTGGCTTAGGTCTTTTGACTCATTCAACTATTACCTCGATTAAAATGTGTTCAACAAACCCAATTTTTCAGCAAACAAGATTTCAAATCAAGCAGGATTGACTCATCAGGGGTAAAAATTTCTTGAGCAGATGGATATCTCATCATGACTGACAAAATATTTTGACTTACTAGTATCTGACTTTTTCAGGTTTGATTGTAGTCTCAACTTTTCTTTCTGACCAAATGAAATTATGTCAAAAATGTTGAATAATCTGGACCTGGTTGTTCATCTCTTGGTTAAATTTTAACCAAATTTAACCAAGGGTTAAATATCATAACACTTGGTTAAAATTAAACCATAGGTTATTTTCTGTTGTTCATCCTGTGGTTAAATTTAACCCTTTGTTAAATCCTTGGTTAAATGATTCAGATTTAACCTTGCTTCGAACTTCGGTTAAAATTTTAACCAAGGAATAGTTTTGTCTAAAAGTATGATTCCCTGTTTATTACTAGATTGGAAAGGTCACTAAATATTTGATACGACATCTTCTTCGTTTTCTACGACCATAAGTAATCAAAAACTGATTATTACGTTTTACAGTCCTTCCCCCTTTTTAGTAGGTTATTTTTATATAATTATATTTCTTGACCAAACAGTTTTTCTAGGACTGGAGAAAAGTGTTCATAATTCTTATTTTTATAAAAATGAACATTCAATGAAAATTTAACCATGGGTTACGTAACCAAGAGTTAAAAAGAAGTTGAACAACGGAATTTTAACCCTTGGTTATGTAACCCTCAGTTAAAAGATTTAACCCTGGGTTATATTTAAACTAGGGTTATATTCAAACAAGGGTTATATTACACCGAGAGATAAACAACCGGGTCCTGATGACGCATCAAGACTGTAGATGTTATCTTTACAAGTGTAATGCTCATATTAAGTTTTTTAACAAAAGAGGTGTAACTTAGAAATGAACTTGAACAAAAAAGTTGAAAATGTAGGTCAAAGTGACCTAGTTTTTTACTGAAAACTAATATACACCATGAGACAAATCTTTACATCAAGTTATATGATTAAGGTTGCTGAGTGGAAATCTGTTCAATTATAATGTCATTCTATTTGATCAAAATGTAGATTTTGGATTAAAACATATTTAATAGCTTACCCAATTCCTCTGTAAAAAGTTCTCTATTTCGTTTATGTTCCTCTGTTTCAGATTGTAATGGTACTCTCATGGTTTCTACCATAGTGTACAATACATTTAATATCATCCTAAAAAATAATGATATATAGATTCATCTAATAGCTTTATTAGAAGACGATTGTTTAATATATAATTATAACACTACCTTTCAGCAGCTACCCGGTACAATTCAATTAATATTATTCAAGAAAAAATACCTTAACCCTAATAGTTCAGTCTCTTCCCGTGATCAACTCTCCCACTTGTGAGGGCTTGAACACTTGATACAATAAAAACCTGTCACGAATCCAGGATTTTGATTGGCACTCTCTGCATGAGAGAGCAAATCAGCAGGTAGCTTAATGTTATCGAGGTAGGAAAATTAAATTTAGAAGAAATAAGAATTTTTCACAGGTCAAACATTTGGTTTTTTCCCCCCTCATACTGTAAACCAACTAATTTTCGCAAGCAATTTATTTTTTCGTGAATTTCGTGAATAGAAAAATAACGCGAATATAAATCCTTGCGAATAGGTAAAACTTGGATCTCTCCTTATTCAACTACATCAAGTAAATTTGAAAATCATGAAATTAAATCGCCGCAGAGTGGGCTAGAAAAGGCAAAACATGAAATGAAGTATCTGCGAAAATAAGTTGGTTTACAGTATCTAATTGTCTGCTATAGATACTGTTGGTTTGGTTATGGTTAAGGATTCTGATACTTACCTAAGATCTAAACTATCACAATATGTTTTGCTTATTTGACTTAGACACTTACCTAAGATCTAGACTATCTGCTAAAGATACTGCTGGTTTGATCAAGGCATTTGCTGCAGCTTTTCCATTTCTAAAATGATTGATACATTTGACATGTAGTTTAAAAATTCGTAAAGTATACATAAAATAGAAAAAAGCAAGTGCATTGCTTATTTCAACTTAATTTTATCTTACAAAGTACTCTCACATATTTTAATTGAAATCTTTGATCATGTATATTATGCTTGATCATGTATATGGGTAATAAATTATTATACTATGGTCATGCAATGAAAGGAAGTATGATCAACATGCAATCTGTGATTTGTTTGTTTTTACAGAAATTTAAATAAAAATCAATTTTTCTTTCTACAAGTACATCATACGTTTTGTTTTGTCCTATTGCCACTCATTTGACTGAATGGGGTAGATGTTTCATTTTTTCCTATTGCCACTCATTTGGCAAAAGGGTATATGTTTTGATTTTGTTCTATTGCCACTCATTTGAAAGGAGGGGCTAGATGTTTTTGCTATTCATTTGGCAAAAGGCATAGATTCTTTTTTGTCCTATTACCACTAATATTTGACAGAAGGGGGAAGATATTTCGCTTTGTCCTATTGCCATTCATTAGGCAGAAGAGGTAGATGTTTTTTTATTTGTCCTATTGTCACTCATTTGGCAAAAAGGCTCTAGATGTTTTGTTTTGTCCTATTGCCACTCATTTGACAGGAGGGGGTTGATGTTTTATTTTGTCCTATTGCCTTGTTTGGCAGAAGGGGGTAGGCATCTTTTATCGACACCTCTCACTGTGGATAGGATAATTATGGAAAATGAACTGGGAAAAAAACATGAGCAGGTTAATAAATTCAAACCCTCTGCTCCCAAGATTTGTAAATATTTGGCAAAGTCCAAGTTTTGCAAAGGGAAATCCCCAAAATTCTTTTAGCCTGATTCAGAGCAAAATAAAAGTAGGAGGTAGACAATTACAATGTTATTAAGAACTGAAGATCTTGTGTATAAGTGTCACTAAATTCCAGGTTTAAGAGAAGACTCAGTGTATGGACAACAGAAAAGAACGAAAAATAAATGGACATATATTGATCATTAAATATCTTCCACTCCACTATATATGCTGTGGTTATAAATAGTACATACTCAGTTTCGAAGGATAATAGTTCAACAAAAGAAGTAAAAATTCCTTGTTCATATAACATGTGCACATTTCTGTGTTCCCAGTCCATCTGTTCTTCTAGTGTACTGCATTCTCCAAAAACACCTGGATAAAAAAAATACAGTGAATTCATTAATTTTTATGGGTACCAATTTTCCTGGATTAAGGAAAATCAATTCATGTATAATTGATTTCGAGGTTTTGCAATCTACAGAAAACTTGTAATTCGTTGAACATTAGCACTATCATCAGATATAAGTTTAAAACTTCCCATAGCACGATTTATGTGTACTTTGTTATTTATGACCTATACATTTCAAGGAAGAATATTTTCACTGAACCATATTATAAGATACTAAGGAAAACTTAAGATGTTGTTATTCAATGCAAGAGGTATGTAAAGGTAGACAGCTAAACATTCAAGGGTTAACTTTATCTGAAGAAATTGCTAAGTCAATTTGGGGATATAGTAAACCCAAAAACCAAGGAATTAATAAAATAAAAAAAACGGTGCAAAGCTTGCATACATGCACATAAGGAAATGAATATATCTAGGCAGCTTCTGTTCAGTGGTATAGGATGAGATATTAATTAGGCATGTGTTCCACACACTGAACTTTATTGAAATTCCATTTCTAGCTATTATCAAGGTGATTTGAAAATAAAATAAGAGCGAAGTTTTAAATTTGACCAATGACCTTAGATATTGGAGAAGTTTGGGATTAAAGATGAATGCAGAAATACATTAAGACTCCCTGACCTTGGATATTGGAGAAGTTTAGGATTAAAGATGAATGCAGAAATACATTACGACTCCCTGTTTGGCAATGGGGAAACCATTTTAAATCAAAATGATTTAGAATTAAGATGGAACATGCACAACTTCAGAATCATTCACCATTCTGCTGGCGTCCTTGTTGGCCACACTTACCTTGAACAAGATAAAGAACAGCATGAACAGCGTTTGTTCTCCTTTCTTCACTGGCGATTTCTAGTTCGTTTTGTAGGTACACTATGTGTTTCTTTCTTATTTCACTTGATGTCTCTGTCCACTTGTCATACCCTGCAATATAAATTGACTCAAATTTATTTGTAATAAAAAAAGATTCATTGTATACAGTTCTTGTCCTGTTTTGTTCATAGGTGTCCTTGTTCTCCGAAGGTTTATTTATACTTACAAATAATTAAAACACTTCATAAGATGAATCAAAAAGCTCTAGCAATTAAATATATGTCCCATATATTTTGGTTGCTTAATCAAACTGTAGTAAAAATTATATAGAGGGTCACCTGAGTCCAAATTACTCACCCAGTGAAAAAAGTGTCAGCCTAATAATGAGGACCTTTAATTGTACATTCTAGTTCCATTTTGTGAGGACGATTATTTTTTGCAATTTACCCTTTTAACCTAGATCCATTACCTTTTGAGATATATATAAGAGCCAAAAACTGCACTAATGAAGCAAAAAGTAGTAAAAATTAACATTATAGAGGCAATTACTCCAACACAGGTTGTCCAGATTTCTGAAATTTTCAGAGTAGTTACATGTAGATCTTGTCATGCTGATTATTTTTGTAATTTTCATTTATAATCTAGCTCTTGTAATATTCAAGATATTAACTGCAAAAAACTGCAAAAATCAGTCATATAGATATTTCACTGGCAATAACTCTGAAACAGGTACTTGGATTTTTTTCTTTTTTCATGTTAGCTACAACCTGTCGTGCTGGTCATTTTTGCAATTTCCATTTTTAGCCTAGCTCCTATAGTTTTAAAGATATCAGACTAAAACTGTGAAAATTAGTAAAATCAAACATTTCTTGGGCCATTACTCCATATAAGATCTACACATTTTAATATTTATTTCAATGTTTTGATTCATACTTGGTTTTCAATGCCAACAAAAAATCTTTAAAATGTTTTAATTGAGAATTCTGTAATAATAACCGTTAACCTTCGACTTTTTGACGATGATCATTAATTGATTTTTTTTATTTAACAACAAATTTTAGTTTTTAACCAGAAGCGACCCTAGAAACTTGACTAAAAAATATTAATTGTATTTTATAACCCAAAATCTTACAAACTTCAGCTACATGTACTACGTAGAAGATAGAGTAAACAGATTATTACATGCAAAGCCAAATACAGGTAATATCAGAGCAAATAATATAATTAAATCATGGTTTTCTGTAAAACATACTTCCAACTTTAAGTTAATAAACTATTAAGATTTCAGTGAATTTTTGTGTAATTACATGTATATTGAATTATTTCAAAATATTTTTCATCCTTCTTTGAAATAGGTCTTTTAGGCACATTGTTTACATTTTGCTAATTCTTCAGTCTCTAAATTGTTACCTTTTGCCTTGAATCCTTCTTCAAAGCACTTTCTATTTAATGCAAACTCACATTCTTCTGTGTAACTGTATAATTCTACAATATATAAATATGATTGTATGAAAATCAGAATTTACAATATACATGTTTCTCTAATTCTTTGGTAATTTAACCCTTTCTGTACCCATTGTTTAAAATATATGGACAATGTGTCCATGGGACACAGATGATGTCCCCGCTTGAATATAACGTTATAAAGGGACATGAACTAGAGAACTGTAAAAGTGAAGCCACCCAAATTGGAACTTGATCTGAGTTTTGTGGAAATAAGCATTGTGTGTAAGTTTCAAAACATTTGGTTGAGGCAAACTGAAGTCAGAGAAACGAAACAAAAATTCATCCATTTTTCCATTTATAAAGGGCATAACTCAAGAACGGTAAAAGTGACGCAACCCAAATTCAAACTTGATCTGTGTTTTGTGGTAATAAGAATTGTGTTTAAGTGTCATAATATTTGGTTGAGGCAAACTAAAGTTAGAGAACAGAAACTAATTTTGGCTCAGACTTGATAATTCAACTTTCTTGATTGCATTAAAAGAAAAATTGGGTTCATCCATTACAAATTTTATTATAGTATATACACCTTAGAATATTTCTGATAATCAATTAGGTATTGTCTTTTGGTCAACAGACAACTTTTGAGTTCGTTGCATTTCTGTCAAAAACTTTGGTTTGAGTGAACATCATTCCTGCGTTTAAAGGCATCGTAACTTCCTTCCCATGCTGAGCAAGTGGTTGAAAAAATATAATGCTATATTGCACCAATAATTCGGCAATTTAATTCTTATAATTAATAATCAGCACTGCTGTCATTAGGGAATTGTGATTAAGTAGCTATGGAACAAACATTATTTGAGTTTATCCTACATAATGATGATTACGAAGACGCTTGATGAACTTTAATAGTGCTGGGAATCAGGCGATCCCCTCTATCTGGTAAATGATGTCATAAAGGCATGCATAATTGACGAACTTTTCTGGTGAAGGACATAACTCGAAAGTGATCTATTGCCTAACACCACTTTTATCTGTACCTGACATTTCACTCTGGTAAGTGTCTGCATCATCATACAAAAATTCTATATCTGGACTATCTGTCATACTCTGGAAAACAAAAGGACATAATTACCTAATTATACATAAACAGTCACCTTTACTCAAAATATTTAAATGAACTAGAGGTAAAAAAAAGTACTTTTCAATTTATTAAAATACAGGTAATTGTTTTCTGTGAGTGTATGTCTTTTATAATTACAAAATGTATTACGTCATAATCTCTAATCTCTTAGTCTCAAATTGGATACTATCTGAATTCTATGGAACTGAAATTTTACTAAAAATACAAAATTATCGAAATTTCAGCAGTCCTGTCTGTCCTGACCACCAAAAATCAGGCAGGTCCACCAATTTTGAGAGTATTGGTGGTCCTGATCTCAAAATTACAGTTTGTTGTGGTTTAATTCTTTTTAAGCTGTCTGGTATTGAGTATAGCTCCAGATTACAAAATGTATATCTATATTAGATATGAACCCATACAATTATTGTGCAAATTAATGGTCTAATCTTATTTATACCTACAATTGTGGATATAATTGATAGTAAAAATTTCCTACAAATAGAGGACCACAAAATATTTACTGGGACCATCAGATTTATAGTCTTGTTGGTCCTAATAACCAACAGACCAGAAGGGATTTTGAGAACCCTGAAATTTATGGCTCAGCAGAGACATGTTATTCCTTATATATTACATGCAAGTGTTTCTGCTCTAAGTTAGCTCAAATTGTGGAATCACTGACAGTATGATATAAGGATATGTGGTATGATTGTATTGCCAATGAAACAACTATCCACCAAAGACCAAATTACCTTGTGTAGATAATATCAACGATAACCTACAGTATAGATCACTGTACAACCTTAAACAAAGAGGAAAACCCATACCACATAGCAAGCTATAAAAGGCCCAGACATCACAATATAAAAACAATTCAGTCAAGAAACCAATGACCTGATTTAAATCGATGTACATGTATAAAACAAAAAACAACAAGCATTCTGTGAGTATTGCATGGCAATACATAGTCCCCTACCGGTTACAAATTCGTTGTAATGGCTAATGGAACGAAATTCTAACTTGAGCTATAACTTGTCATGGTGTAAACTGCATAAAAATATCAAGTCAAAATCTTCAAGCATGACGAAAAAAACTGTTGAAAACTGAAAATTTCAAACAATTTACCAAAGAAAAGGAACAAAATCCAAAATGTCATTTTGTGTTTTAAAAGTCTTTTAAAAAATGAGTTATTTCCCTTTGAACAGAAATCTACTAATTAATAAGTATTTCATCAAAAATTTAATTCTAGGGAAAGGGCTTTAACTGAACAAAGAGAAAAGCTAAAATCGTGAAAATTGAACTTGACCTGTAACTTGTTATGATAAATCAATAAACCAAATTAATATCAAATCAATATCTTCAAGCACGAAGAAAAAAAGTAAAGAATGTCAAAGACATAGACAATCAAGTTATTCAACATCTAAAGAAATGAAGTCACAGTGAAAGCATTTATGTCTTTGAAGACGCCATTTTTTTATCCAAACAAATTGAAGTACTGTCCTTTCACTTCTAAGAATTGCTTTATACAAACAGTACATAAAAAATTCTGATTTTTGGCAAAATGATTTTGAAACTTCATTAAAACATGATAAAAAGAGCCTTTAGTTTTAATGTTTGATCCACTTATTTCATTAATAAAAACATCATATTAATTCCAAATCACTTGTCATGATAAACATGGATTGGAGGCAAAATTACAATGACCGAATTCCATATTATTTTTTATAATAAAATTGAGAATGGAAATACATGTAACTACATATTCATGCATGGCTCAACTAACAGGAGAATAATGAGCACTAAAGGGGAAAAAATGCATTCAATTCACATTAATCTTCATTTGGTTAGATTCTTTTAGTTAAAAATATATATTATAATGCAAATGCATTGTTTCTTTTTATTGATTAAGATTTAAGTTGCTTTACTTTGATAAATTTATACATTTTCTAGTGAAAAACAATGAATATCATCAGAAGTTCATTACTAGAGGAAGTGTGCAAGCTGTACTATATAGCTAGGCGATCACACTGTCCCCGTTATCAGTGGAAAACGCTATATGTGGTCCTCCCAAATCTCGTTTTTCAACTATGGAATCATGGGTAGAAATGTTATCATCAAAACAGATAGCTGTTAATTAGTCTCCTTGAGTGTTTGATTAATTATCAGTTTGTTGAAAATAAAGTGAGCCGACTTACATATAGTGCGGTGGTTTCTTATTGCCAGTTATTTAACTTCATTTTACAATAACCGAACATTTGTTGCCTCAGATGACTTCGAAACAATTTTGAATTTTAAGTCTCTTGTTTTTTAGCTATTTTAAAGTTAGAGACATACGTTTCTCTTGTCTGTCCGTCATTACGATGTATATGTGAGTCAGTGTTGCAACGTGTCATAGTCCTTTTTTTTGTCGTTTTATACTCAAGACTGAAGACACCTTTATATCATGCGGACTTAAGTTTTGATTTATCGTGTGTTGTTAGCTTAACTTTCAGTGGCAAATATATCATACATATTCCATCAAAGAGTTGTCACAAGTGGTATTTAACATGCAGAGAGCATATCATTCATCCTGAATATGCGAGGTACTGGATTTAAAGTCCCTTCCCCGACCTGACGTGGCTGTTACTAATTTATACACCACACACTTGTAAGAAAGGGTTTTACTGTTGGAACGGGACAATTCCAGGGATAACTTTATTTCTTTACCCAAATCAACCCTTGAGATTGATTTAGTATTTGAACGAATTAAATCAATTGTCCTACAATTAGTAAGACTTCGTCATATTTCAGTATGAAGTATACTTACATAAAGAATATATATTCATTACTCATTTGTTTACAAAGATCGTGATCGCAACTTTTCCTACACTTTTAACCTATAAAATTTATTTGTCGAACACACGTGTTGTGAACTGCATTTTTTTACATATGTTTTAACGGATAAATGTAACAATATCTGACTGAAATGATAACTTTTGTTCGTCCACACCATCATCCGAGATAGTATTAACTTCAAGATCTCAGTTACACAGGATTGAATATATTCAAAATTAAAGAAAGGGCATACAATTATTTTCCCCTCTTTTTTTCAAAATTGAGGGTACAATTTGTTAATTTTGCTAAACAAGGTTAAATCTGCAGAATTACCGTGCAACTTTAAAAAAAATCTTATTTCTTGAAATTTGTAAATCGTAACATATATTCTTAAAATAAGTATAATAGAATGTTTATTCCTATTAAACTCATTCCTAATCCAGTGTTACTTGTACTGTATATGGATACACAATTTTCCGACCTAATTTTTACTTACCAACTTTTTAATGGCAATTTTTTCACAATTAACTCTGAAACCAAACGTTTATTGTATTATCAAGTGAGCTTTTTTTATTCTGTCTTACAATTTTTCTACGGTTATAATTATAGTTTTTAAATTGATATATAATACACAAACATTTTTATTATTTAATATTAAAACCATCATAATGACTCATGACACTAATATAATCATGATAATATGGCATCTGCTATTCATTAAAACGTCGATGGTCAAACATTATTTTTAACTGTGTGCTAATTAAGTTATAGAGTGTTTTGCATATATTATCTCTACCCAGAATGCATCGCAAAAAATTTGGCCATTGATTTTTGTTACTATAAATAGAAATCTCGCTCAATCACAGTTGGAAGTACAGGGACAACGTGATCACCTTACTATATAGAGGGTTGAACACTTCCTCTAGGTAATGGGAAATTATAAAGTGTTATTTTCATCTTGATTTTTAAATGACAAAAGGTCATTTTTTTTTCTTCAAATCTGTAACAAAGCTATATATTTAGATGGTATAAAATGTATACAAATGTACCATCTAAATACATGTATCTAGCACTATTACAAATTTAAAGAAGAAAAAGGCGACCTAATGCCCAACTAGAGGGAAAATATTATTGTGTAACTATAAATGACAATTTAAGACATAAACTGAGACAATTTTAATGGTATTCTCAGGCATAAAATTAAATTGAAAAATGTTGTACAGTACAAAACAAAGAAGCTTAAGTTAACAAGAAGAATACAATGACAAGATATATGTATATCTGACATTGTCAAATTTAGTGAAATTTTAGGAAGTTGTTACATTGTACATGCTAATTCAAAAATAAATTTTGCTACATATTTGGCTAGTTTGTTATGACCTTTGGTCGCACATTGGTTATGGTAGTAAAAAAAGCAAGAAGCAAATAGTAAAATAAGTAAAAAGAAATGTTAGGAAGAATGGTCTAGATAATAAAATTTTGCCTTCGTTTACTTTAAGATTAGGGTTTAATTCTGGTTATGGTGGGGGCTTTAGGGTAAGGGCAACTATTAGGGATGGGTTAGGGTAACGTAGTTTAGTATCGCTATATATTGGTTGGTACAAAATGTATCCCCCTAGCTAAAGTAAGGCCATAAAATTGACTGTGGAATTTGATTATTTGATAATGTCCAATCAGTTGAGCGGTTTTACTTATTTTTTAATCTTGAAACTGATATTCATAGGGTATGTACCTCTGATAGTGAATCTTCTCTTTGTCTCCGCAACAGATCCCTTAATTTGGGCAATCCCTCGCCCTTCCTAGGCCCAGCATCCATCATTATTATTATTTAAAAGGGAGACAATCATGTATACAAAACAGAGTTACTTACCTTTATTATTGTCAATAAGTACCGGGTTACACTAAAGACCTAAACGTGGACCTGAAAAGACCTGAAGATATACTACTCGATTTATTTATTCAAATTGCAATTACGTTTTTATTATACGATGGATTTTCTTCAAATTAGAATTTTATTAAAGGTAAAGAATCACGAGGTATTAGAAATAAATGTTTTAAATAAAAAACAAATGTTGATGCCAAAAATCAGACCTGAACGAGGAAATGAAAAGACCTGAACGGACCTGAAATTTTACGATCAGACATATTCAAACGTCAATAACTGTTTTATTTT